TTTTTGTTGTTGCCACAAATAATAAGAGCTACTTTTGTTGATTGTGTGAACTGCTGCTGAAAACTGTAATTTTCCTTTGGGGATGAACAAAATATTCTATCTGTTCATACCTTGCAAGGTGCATTTTATGCTCTTGTTTTATCTGTCTTTTTAATACTTTTGCTTATTTTTATTTTACTCTTTTAACCTACATGCATGTCATGTTTACTGTGTTGCATTTCTTTGTCTTTTGCAAATGCCTTGCTGTGACTGTGATTATTTTCAGATATTATTCACTGTATTTGGTTTTGTGTGGTACGGAAAAAGGACAGGGGGCACATATTGTTGAAAAATCTTGTCTTTTAAACAGCAATGTAACAGACTTCACAGCAAGTTAGTGCACTTTGTTGACAAAACTGCCCACAAAGCTGCTCCATCCTGATGTAGCTGCTGAAACCACACCTGTGCTCGCGGCAGGTTGTCATGAGGGATCATAAGATCAGTCTGATGTCATTTCCTTGTTTGATGGATGAATACAGTGGGTTTGTGGTGCAGACAGTAAGCTAACATCAGAGCTCACCTCCACTTGTTTTTGGAGCTGCGCTGCGTGTTGCGCCGTCCTGTTGTCTCGGTACTGCTGGATAGCCAGCAGCAGAGACTTCAAACACGTCGTCACGTCCATCTGCAGAGTAAAAACTTCAATCTATAAGTCTGTTTCAGCGAGAAAACACATTTAAAACTAAGCTTTCAACCGGCGTCCACCTTTAACCTCCAGGATGCTAACACTAGCTAGCAAACTTGTCTTAGTTTTATGACGACAGAAACGGAAGCGAAGTATTGAAAAAAAAAAAGTGGCCTTAAATATGAACAGATGGTCGTGGGTTTTAAAATTCTGCGTTACATGAAACATTTCAGTGCTTGTTGTTTGGTGCTGACTACCTGCGGTGACTTTTCTTCCTCCGAGAAACATCAACAACCGGCAACACGGCAGCGACTTCCTCCCGCTTCCAGCTTCGAACGGCCGAGGAACGAACCATGTCCGAGGAAGGGGAGACTGGACGCATTCAATCTACGGGTGTGAAGCTAATCTTAATTACTGTGCTATACAAACTAATTTATTATATTAACAAGATGATAAGATATCACAATCAAACTACATGTTGTAGTTTAATGGCATATTTATAAGTAATTAAAATTAACAAAATTCAATCTCCCCCTCATAGAGGTCTTGAGGGCGAGAACTGGAGAGGACGTAACGTAAGCTAGAGCCAATCACCGTAGTTTAAAATAAAATAAAATAATTAAATTAAATTAAATTAAATTAAATTAAATTGTTTGTTTTTCTGTTTGTTTATGGGAAGCTGTGTGTCCTGGTAATGTTTTGTAGTATTTATTAATTTTAAGCTAATTTAAGATTTTTTTTTCCCCAAAAATTTTACTTCATTGAGTTTTCTTGCATGAGCTGAAAAATATGTACATATTTGTGTATTACTTTCTTAAACACTGAATAAAACAGCATTCCTTACATGTGATCTAGAGGCAAACAGCTTTTTAAAACAAATGTGACATGAGTAAATACAATAAATTAGCCATTTGGAAAAAAAAAAAAAAAGAAAAACTTTATTTATTGACCTATAATGTTTACTCATATGTTAATTGCTTCATTTGTTTATTTCATAGGAGTATTGATTTATTTATGTATTTATTTAGATATTCAACACTGAACAAACCAGCAAACACCTGCAGTCCAGGCAGCAACCGTTCAAAGGTCCACCACAGACTGTTGCATTTTTAAATACAGTGGAGCTGTTTAACTCCGTGGTTTGCGGGTCTGTTGCAATATCTGCACCGACCTAATTAATGTTTTTTTTCCCACAGCAACGTGTCATTGGGGCTGCAAGGTGGCTCAGTGGTTAGCACTGTTGCCTCGCAGCTAGAAGGTCGCCAGTTCGCGTCCCGGTGAGGACACCCGGGATCTTTCTGTGTGGAGTCTCCATGTTCTCCCCGTGCAGCGTGGGTTCTCTCCGGCTTCCTCCCACAGTTGTTGAGTTGCTGTAACATGTTGAGGTTAATTGGTGATTCTAAATTGTCCGTAGGTGTGAATGCGAGTGTACTTGGTGAGGATTAAGCGGTGTATAGATCATGGATGGATGTGTATTTTTAGGGGGTTGTGTCCCTGGGCTGGATCGTATTAGATTTCACGTGTCTCTTTTTCTGTGTCCAGTCCAGTCAATTTCAGACTTGTAAGGGTAATCCTGTAATTAATATTTAGCTCATCGGTCAATTTTCTGCTTTTCTTTTCTAAAATACGTGGTTGCTTGCTTTATTTATTTTTAATGTGTCGTCTTTTTCGGGAGATTGAACAGAGTAAGAATTTCATTGTGTAGCACAACTACCTGTTTTGCTGTGCATATGACAATAAAACTCTTGAATCTTGAGTTATCAAAGATCATCTGAATAGGCTGCACTGTAATTTCTTGTTGTTTTTTATTTATTATATTTTTGCCATTTTGCTTTTATTAGATGCATTTAAGGAGTAGACGGGTTTAAAAAAAAAAAAGAAAAAAAAAAGAAGAAGACAAACTACCTCCAGCTTCCGAGCATCAACCCCCACGGTGGTGCATCTGTGGCATTTGTGGACAATATGAGCTGAAAACAGCAGACATTAAAATTACTCACCACATTTTCCAGTTTGATCACATAAGATCAATTTGCTGCAGACTTGAGCGGACAGTAGGACCACGTGAGTTCGTGTCTTGCTGTTTCAATGGAAACTGTGGTTAGACCCTGCTGACAGTTTCAAAGCCCACCGCGCACTTCTTTCCATTTTGTCTTTGTCATGACTTTGCTGTGTTCGCTTGATTAGAATTTACACAAAACTTTAGCAGACACTGTTTTAGCCACAACACAAATTTTTCAACCAATAAACTACCTCAAAGTTCAAAAGAAGTTATGAATGTTTAGAAAAGGGTAAATGAGAAAGAAATATAGAGTTGAGAGTTGAGTCTGTAGTGGAGGGGTGTGAAAACAGACAGGATGTGCGCTGATAGTTTGTCCATACAGGCGTCGGCACGTTCAGTATCACATGTGTTTGAAGTTCAGCATTTGTCCTGCGTGAACTCAAACAAAACTCCTCGAGCCATGTTTTAAGTGCACAGAAAGGATGTGGACTACGTCAGACTTCAGGGTTTTGGTACCTACAAGACTGAAACTTTAATCGCATGTAATAGTCAAATGAAAACCAACTTAAAACAGGTTCATATTTAGAAAACACTTAGATTAAGTGAAGAGGAAGTTCCATTAAAAGTCCAGAAAACATGCAGTTATGGGTTCAAAAAGCTGAGAATTGTCGTCTCACTGCTGTTGTTTGAAGCCACAATAAGCAGCAGCAGAAGTGCTTAAAGTAACAAAAATTAAAAATAATGTGTTACTACAGTGCAAGACAGTAAGGCAGTTATTTAAAACATGCAGCAACACCTGTCTGATTGCCCACAGGAGAGAAAAACGTCACATGCCCATTTTCCATTAATGTAAATGAAACAGAACAGATGTGGAAACTATTCTTTCTCTGAACAATTCATAGGTCTGCTGCACTACACTCCAAATTTAACCACGTGGTTGTCATGGCCACCGGTCTGGTTAAATTCTGGGTCAAGGCTGAGTTCACTGTTTACTGTGAAGGCTGTCAGCAAAAGAACACAAATCCTCATAAACGCTCACAAACAGCAGGCAGAGACAAGACAGGAGTAAAAACATCTGATTTTCATCCATCTCACAGTAGCACAGTTTTAATCTGATCTTATTATGTGTACAAAGCTCACTTCATCACTAAACGTCACATTCTTCAAGTCCACCTGGACGACGGTTTCCCAAAATCAGCGAGCGTCTCATTAATGCTGCATGTTTGTCCGAAAGCAGCGAATTCCAGCCTTCATGCAGGTTAAAGTTGTCACATTTAAAGGAACTAAATTCAAACTCTTTCTTTACAGCGTTACGTAGTCCTGACTGAAAAAGCTTTGATCAAAGATAAAGCTAGAAAAAAAGCACGTTCTACATTATCTATCAGGAGCTTAGATGATCAAGTCTGCCGACAGATTTGCTGTAAAGTCACAACATAAGCAAAAAAAAAAAAACCTCAAGTAAACAGAATCTGCTTCTTCCAACAGACTTAAAACTCGTACAAATTCTCAAATGAATCCTCACAGGCAGAAATGTCTGCAAAGAAAAGTGTCTTCCTGCAGGACCACATCAAAAACAAAACAGTCTCTGTTGGTTTTTGCATCCAGCGGAGCAAAAGCCACTTTAAAACCAGGATAAATCTGTTTATGAGTCCACATGAACCGTCAGACCTTTGTTGTTCTCTCAGTATCATAAATAACAAACTGCTATCCAGATTATGTGCCTCATTTCAGATGAATGCATATATTATTATTAATTTTAGAACAATTAGCATTTTCATATTAACATTTAGGGCTGCAGGGTGGCTCGGTGGTTAGCACCATTGCCTCGTAGCAAGAAGGTCGCCGGTTCGCAACCGAATCTTTCTTCGTGGAGTCTCCATGTTCTCCCCGTGCAGCGTGGGTTCTCTCCGGGTTCTCCGGCTTCCTCCCACAGTCCAAAAACATGTTGAGGTTAATTGGTGATTGTAAATTGTCCGTAGGTGTGAATGTGAGTGTGCTTGGTTGTCTGTCTCTAAGTGTAGCCCTGTGATAGACTGGTTACCTGTCCAGGTGAACCTGCCTTCACCCTGAGTCAGCTGGGATAGACTCCAGCCCCCCATGACCCTAGTGAGGATTAAGTGGTGTAGAGATAATGGATGGATATTAACATTTAACAACAAAAAAAACAGCTTTTTTCTACTCTTAGAATACGAACTACAAGCTCATACAACCATTGCATCTATTCTGGAATTAGATCTGAGAAATATTCCAAAATATTCTGAATTGTCAGTGTGTTCTCCTTCACTTGAATAACGACATATCTGCCATAAACTGAAGCAGAAAAGGAACAAATTGCATAAAAGGCGCATATAAAGTCACCAGAATGAGGGAAATTACATGTTAGAAGCTATAAATGTCCTCATTCTAATAAACCTACATGCACGTTGACAATGCTAGCGTGGATGCATAACGTGAGCAGTTGTGCAGGTATTTGTAACAAACCGAAGCTTTGCACAAACTCAAATTTAAACCAGATGTTGGCTCCAAAAGTGAAAAGCATCCCCAAAGTTATCACAGTTCATCCTCAGAGGAACACGAATGTTGTTCCTCGGCCACGCGGTGGAGAAACATTCGCTTTCAGATGAGCATCGTGTATGTTTGCAGAAAGGTTCGTCTGAGAATAATTCAGCTCCGCATCGATGCACTGCAAACACGGGGGAAAGGTAAAAAAAGTGAAAGGATGCGACGAGTTCTGTACTTGACTTTGTATAGAAACAGCATGTCCATGAATCTCCATCCTGACTCAGATCCAGTCTGCGAGTCCTTCAGTCCTCTCAAGTGTCTTTGCTTCTGTTCAAAGCTGAGTGGACTGATTAGGAAGAACCTCAACGTAGTCAGAGGAGCTCGGAGCATCTAGAGGAGAAAAAAAAGGTAGAAACACGTCAAACAAGCCATAAATCAAAGAGGACGCAGAGAAAGAAAAGGTGACGTACTCTCGTAGTCGTGCTCTTCTTCTTCCACCTCTTCAGCTGGAGGACTCGGCTCGGGCGGCGTTATGGTTTTGATCAACAGGGCCGTCTTCCGTTTGATCGAGTGGCGCAGATGAACGGCCAAACCCTGGTTCTTCCTCTTATAGTGACGGATCAGATCGTCCAGAGTCTTAAAGAACACCTCCTCCTGACCTCCTGCCGCCTGCAGAAACAGCATCAAGTCAACAAGGAGCCAATCACACGACTGTAATCTCCACTGATGTCTGTGGTTTTGTCTCTGTGTTTCTGTTTGGCAGTGTGTGTGAACGAGACAAACTTCAGTAAAATCTGGCCTTCACACTCACTAACATTTATTGTCATTATTAACGAGTGACCTGTGAAATTTCTCAGTAAATTGATGTTTTTTTGATTGTTAAACGCCAGAAAATATCTGTTTTGTCTGACAAACAGGCCAAAGTGAAAGTTTTTCAGTTGGGTTTTTATGTGCCCTAAACATGAGTCAAGTAATTAAATAATTGGTAAAATACAAATCAAAGCAAAGCAAAGTAAAACAACAGTAACATAAAATGGTGAAAGAAGCTCAACATACAGGAGGAAAAAGACCAAAAACAAAAACCTCACGTTGCTGCTATTTTCAAAGCATTGTTAATGTTAGCAAAAAAAATATGTAGTGAAGCAATTAGTTGAATTGAAAAGGAAAAAAAAAGGGAAAAATGCCCATTTATCTGTCTCAGAGTCATGTGACGTCTTCAAACTGAAAGAGCTTATAAAGCTTTTAAACGGCAAATCTCCACAGTGAAACAAGCAAAGCTGAGGATTCAGCTGCTTTAAATATTATTTCAGCAACTAAATAATCAGTAAAACAGGAGGAAAAGAAGAAGGGGAGAAACAACAACGTAGAAAAATGTGCAAATAGAACAAAGTTGAAGAGTGAAACCTCACGATGACTAATATCTGGAGCATCGTGGATGTTTGTGCAAAATTCCATCCAGTTAATCGGCTTGTCTGTAGAATGTCAGAAAAGAAGGAAAACAAACGCCCATCTGTCTGTCTCAGAGTTCAACACGACGTCTCTAACCGTCTGGTTCTGTGCAACCAACAGAACAAACTCAGACATCTATCCATCACGAAACTGAGAATCCACACAACGGAACAAGCAGCGGACTTTCTCGCTTTAAAAGTCACTTCATGAATTCATGAATCAATAAAAGAGACGTAGAAGAAGAAGAACAACAATCTGGAAAAATGGCAAAAAAAACAAGTAAATTTAAAACCGCTAAACCCTCATAATGGCTCATGAGTGATTTCTGAATGACCGGGCAAAATTTCATCCAAGTAATTATTTTGTTCATTTGAAAAGAAGAAAAAAAAAAAGGCCAAATTTTCTTTCTCCAAACAGATATGGAAAAGATGTTTTAAAACACTCAAATAAAAGAACATTATAAGAACTCTACAGAGCCCACAGTGATATTTATCAGGAGTGGAAAGTGAAAACAGGACGGAAATGTGGAAGACAACGAACGAAACGAGGCCTTAAACATTCAAACAACCACAAAATGACACACGTGTAAAATACGGATCCTGCAGAAACTATAAATCTCCTGATGTTTCATTCAGACGTCGTCACTGAGCTGCTCGGGCTGGTGGGCGGCGTGTCAGCCGTTACTACAGACTCAACAGACGCCTTTAAAATCGGCGGAAAAATGGAGGAGTGAGGTGGAAAAAGTCATCCCCAGAGAAATCAGCCTGCTGTTGTTGTGTCTGAATCGACGTCACAGGAGTTTCCTGTGTCACGGGGGTGAGCTGACTCAGTTTCCATCTCGGGGCTGAAATGTTCCTTTAATAGGCCCAGATGTGCTCTGATCTGTGCTTGATATCTGGGCTTCTGACAGATGTTGAAGGGCTGACAAACACCTCAGTCGGTGTGAGAGTTCTAAAGAGCTAAAAAGATTTTTAAAAAACACATCTGCCCTCCTCAGAATCAGCTGATTCAACAAGTGTGGTATACTTAATGACGCCACGCAAAGCTTTACCTTCATACTGTCAACATTTCTGGCATTAGAGCTCTTAAAGTGGGTTAAATTTCACACTTTGGAGCAATTTTGAGCCTCAAAGCTTTATAAGTTCAGGACACATGAAGTGTCAATACAATGACTTATGTGTGTTCTGTAATGTGTGTGTAGTTACAATTCATTTTTACCAGTAGTTCAACAGTTTAGGTGATCTGAGTAATAATAAAATAACATCTGAAACATAAAGCTAACAATACTCAGCCTAAATCTTCTGACCGTGTCGCTGAAAATACGGTTGAAAGTTTGTGTTCAATGACAATTAATATCAACCAAATCAAATTTAACGTGTAAATCTGTCCCACGCGATCACGATTTGTACAATTTATACAATTTTCCTCATTTTCTCAATAAATTATTGCCTGACTTCCTCATGTCCTCAGCACCAAATTTTCAACTAGTACTCATACTTAGTTCCTTAATATATCTCAAAGATGTCACGTAGCTTTAAAGCAGCTTCATTAGAATACAATAGAATAGTTTCATTGTCCTCACACGTGGGGGCATGATGAAAATACAAGTAGCTGCCTCTGGGCGGTGCACTGAAACAAGCTCAATTAGCAATTAATAATAAAATTAAATTAAAACAAGACTATATGTCTCAACTCAATTTGTCAAAATTATCTGTCAGATTCAACACAGACCACAGGGAAATGTGTGTACGCACATAATATTTCCTTTCCCCTCCTGTTTCCTTTGGACTTTAATTTAAAATACAGCTGCAGAATCATCACTGGTCCTGCATTCAGACCAGCGAGGGTTAAAGGTTCATGCACATGTGTTCTAGAAAAACATTTTATATTTAGGACTCTTTTTGTCTCTTATATCTCAAAGCGACATAATCCTCTTCAAAATAAGAGCGCTTTGCTTCAGCTTTTAGATTTTAGTCATAGCGTCAGCAGATACAGACACTAGATGGGATGAAATTAATGCAGCAAAGGTCGGACGAGCCAGAAATCAAACTGCTCAAAGCTTAACCTCGGGTCGCCCAGTCCTTCTAGTGACAAAAAAATAGCCAAAATAATTTAAAATTTGCTCCGACTGACAAATATGTCGAATGCCCTGAGGACGATGATGCAGCCTGCTTTAGTTTCTGGTAAAGTTTCATTCATGGAAACATCCTAAATATGTTTTAACCATCTGTCCTGAAATCTGCCGGCAGGTTGGAAGGGTATGTTTTCTTTAAAAAGTTTCCTAAATATCAACATTTGTCAGCCAGAAACCAGAAAAATCTGATTTCCAACTGGTTTAAAATGTTCTATTCATATTGCACGTATGCCGACGACACTCCGTTTTACGTGGCTGCACTTTGTGAGGGTTTTATCATTTTTACTTCTCACATGTGTTAGTTTTTATTCCTGCTGTTTCATGATAGGTTTGTCAGCCACCTGTGGATCACTTTGAGTCACACTAACGCACATGAAAGGTTCTGTATGAATAAAGTTTCACCGATTTAGAGATCACTGAAAGCATTTTATCAATTGGAGACCACTTATGCTACTTATATCTAAAAGATGGCTGCTTCTTTTCAGTCATTATATATTCGTTTTGGAATTGGGACAATCTGAACTAAGACTTATGTACATTTTTGGTTTATTTGTATTTTGTTGGTGATGTTTCCTAAATATTTGCACTCTTCACTGTGGGATTAATGAAGGCTTATCTTATCGCATCGTAGGTTTTTTTTTTTTAACAACATTTGTTAGTTTGGGGTTTTATTTACTTGAACATAACAGATAATTTTAATCTATCAAATGGCATGAAATAACAGGAAATGTTTGCATGTTGAACTTTAGCCTGTTAAACAAACGCAGATTAACCACTTATTTTGGTTTCTCGCTCCTTTTTGCAGCGGCTTTCGTGCGTCTGAGAACTAACTGCATGTCGGCCGTACTTTTTTCACAGACCAAAATACTACCGGCTGATTACACCGGCTGATTTCAGTGTGTTTAGATTTAGTACACTTCAATATTGGTGATGTTAGGAGACTTTACTTTGGGAAATTTGAACTAGTTTTTAACCATCATAACTACCCAATATTCATTCAGTTTCACGACTTTAACCCCTTAAATGCCAATAACTTTAAATTAGGAAATATTTGATTAAATATAAAGTAAGAACTAACTTTAAATGCTTCAGTATTGCTGAATGCTACAAGTTCTACATGCAAAGAACTCCGAATTTTACCAACAGAATTGAATTATTGTAGTCTGGACGCTTTCAAACAGCATTCAGACCTTCATGCTGCAAAATGAAAGCAAGACGACTGAACGCGCACCGATTGGAGACGAGTGAGAACCAACTACAGCCTCAAATGTTGATGTGCAACATGTGTGGTGTGTGTTTGTGTGTTTTTACCAGCAGAGTAAAGTGTCCAGTGCGCGCCTGAAGCAGCCTGTAGGTATAAACCACCCTCTGTTTGCTGCAAACACAAACAAAGATGCATGTTGTTGGTATGAAGTTTTGCAGAACCATGATCATGACTGTGGCGCTTCACAGCAACAAGTCTGAATCCTCTCTTGCAGCTGCAGGAGAAGCATCACAGCGGCCCGTTGAAAGCATTTTTTCTTGCACGTTTTCCTACTGAAAATATAAAGATGATATTTGTTGGTGCATAAGAATTACTGTACGTTCGGTCTCATGCATAAAGGCACATCATGGAGAAAATAAACTGTGGCCGCAACCAACCACAGTCTCATTTCAACCACAGAAAACACTGTGGCAAGCAGAGGAAAGTGAAGGAGGTCATAAAACATGACTAAAAGTCCTTTTGGGGATTATTATTGCTACTGAAAATCAACTGTATATGTATTAGTAGTACATGTGGTTGTAAACAGGAGATATATTACACATTTTAAACACATGTGGTGCCTTTTCTGCCTTTTTTTTCTGCCCCAAAACAACAGAGAACATTAAAACAGAACTTCCTGCACGGTGCTGCATCCAAATTAATTACAAGAATTCTGCACTTTTACACAAGAAGGACTTAAAATGCACAACTTGAAGTTTTGCTTTCACATTGTTGCATCAGCACTTCTATGATAGTGAAGGATCTGAGGGCTTTATCCAAAGCTGTTCTGACCAAACCTCGTTGTATGTTGCATTACGGCTTTATTTCATTTGTAGAAATTCCTTTGATCACAATAAAGTTCTCTACGGAGGCACAGAAACGTCAATATAAAGACATTTTGGCACATGTGGCAAATTTTCTTCTGCACTTTTCTTTTAATTGTGTAATCTTATGTTAATTCTAAACACAATATATACACCAATAATTAAATCTGTACTAATATTAACTCTTAACATACAATCATGGTCTTAGGTTTTACCTTATACGGCTTTGAGATTGTTAAATTCACCTCATTCTTCACTGACTGACAGGGTTTTGACTGCTATTTATTAACATATGAGGTTTACCCTGAGAAACTGAACAAGGTTTGGATGCACGGCGTGAATCTGTAATGACGACACATTGGAGGGACGCTGCTGGCCCTGAGGTCAAAGCAATCCAAACACCTTACCAGGCACCAGTGTTAGAAATAACACAATATCAGGAGTGTTGTTAACTCTACAAATGTGTATAAAGCTGGAAAATAAAGTAAATGCTTGCGTTAAAGGTAAGCCCTGCTGCCTCAGCGCCTCAGTGTGCTGCAGAATACTCACTAGACACAAAGACACATGGCTCCCTGGATGGTCTCGCTGTCTCGGATCAGGTAAGCTCCATCCTTGTTCTTCTTTGCCATCAGGTCTTCGCACTCCTTCCTGCTGATGGCGCCGTGGTAACACACCGGCATCGCTGCTGCCATGGCGAAGAGAAGACTGACGAGCAACGCGCAGACATCCACCGAGCTGGACGGCAACTTCTGCTTTCTCAGCACAGCTCGATTTCCAGGAACAGCAGCTGTGAGCTCCACTTGACGCTGCTGGCCGATGCCATAGAGGCGACTTGTGTCTGGATTCTGGTGGGTAAAATGACAGAGTAGAGCAGAGAGAGGTCAGGTCTGACGGCATGGAGGTGTTGAGCAAGAGTGACACTGAGATGTCAGATAAAAACCACTGATGGTTTAACAGGAAGTGTGTGTTGTGTGCGAGCGAGAGAAAAAAAAAAAGTACTGTGTGAAAAGTGCTGATCGCTTTATATCGCAACAAGAACAGTCTTAGTATCATATAAACATTTTTAGCAGCAGCCCTCCACAATGGTCTGAACCCCAAATTATTTTTGGTCAATGTGGGTTCATATTTCTCTGCAAATTAAAATCCTGCATCTCTACTGAAACAGCACAACACTGGCTAGAAGAAGAAAGAACACAAAAATGTGTTTTGTGCAGTATGATGCAGGTGTAACGCAATAAATCATAAAGAAAGAAAAGTTTAATTTCTTTGATTATTCATGTACAAAGATTAGAATTAACCAGGACAACATTTTTCCAAGTGCCTACAGATGGTATCAGTAGGGGTCTACATACTCGAGCAGTATAATCAGGAGGTACAGTAGCACTAATCAGGGCTGCAGCGGTCGTCCTTTTAAAATAACCACGGACAGTGAATTACTTTCACAATCTGGCTGTTTCCGTGAAGCTCAGGCAGTGTGAGGAAAAAAGAAAGAAAACTTGTTGTGGTTCAGAACAAAAACAAAAATGAAAATGAAATGCTGAAGGACATGAAAAAAGTCTGATGAATGTTGGGAGCTCATGAGACCAAGACACATTTGTTTAGCTCAGATGGAGTCCAGCATGTTTAGTGTGAACCTGGTCTGGACAGCCACAGTGAACGCATAGTCCTGACAGTGAATGATGTGGAGTGTGATGATTTGGGGCTGCATGAGAGTAAAAGGTGTTGCTGCTGTTTATAGATGCACCATGAATGCCTGGGGATGAACCAAAATAGTGGCTGCAGAAGCGTGAAGAAGAAGAGGAATATTTTAACACCATTCAAAGCACAAAATCACACAAGAAAGAAGAGAAGAGTGAAAACTACAAACTGTACAATGAATCAAATACAACCCATCTCCTCCAGCAAAGAGTAGAACCAGAAACGTTTGGACGCTGGCATTCACCATGCTGAGGAGGACTGAGGATTAAGCTGTACTCATTTTTGTTGCATGAAGTTTCTGCTATGGGGGCTTCATTTCAAATATAGTAAAACTAAACTGTTGGTTTTTAATTTGGCACCAGAGCGAATACTGTTCAACTTTGAGGTGATGTAATCACTGTATACCATGCTGAATCTGTTGACATGCAAGTGATATTGCACTCTAAATTATTATTCTGTAATTGGCCCTTGCTTTATTATTTATTACAACCTTAAAATATGAGCCACACATATAAACAAATGCATAGAAATTGAACAAAAAGTAGGAAAAAAACTTTTTTTAAAATTTAAAAATGATTCACAATTAGCTTTTATGCGCTGCTAGCAAAGACACAACAACATAAATGAACTTTGCTGTTGTTTATTAGTAGTTTTATTTTCATCCACTTTTTTAAAATGAGGAGGGGGCGTGTCCACGTTGCTAGGCAACTGGACGCGGAAGTTAGAGGGCGGACCAGACAACACGACGCTAATCCTTTTCGTGACTAATGAAAACACAACAAAACACTCCGCTATCGTGAAGCGCACCTCATCAACCCACCAGATACTCATTTGAGCTGGTACACGGAGGAGGATGGGAGGTTCTAACAAGGTCGGAGTTCTCTGTGCGGATGAGTTTGATGCCGAAAGCGCTAAAAACATCGCGACAGGTCAGTGAAACAAGCTAGTAGCATCGACTGTGATTTAGCTAAAAAGTGTAAACACAGACGTTACACCGAGTCTGTGGCGTGTTTAACTTGTCTTACACCCGGAAGGACTGTTGTTTCGCCCGCTTTGTGTTTCTGTCGTGGGCAGATGGAGGACGGAGGGTCGGCGGGGTGGTGGAGGTTGTCGGGGCGGTGCTCACCCTGCTGTCGGCGGCCTTCATCATCCTCACCTTCCCCCTCACAGCCTGGATGTGCGCGAAGGTGACACAGAAAAAAAACCCTCACTTTGTTAGATTTAAAAATAAATCCTGAGTCGCGTTTCTGCTGATAAAATAGTCGCTGCACCGAGAGGATCAACAGAACAACCAAAAAAACCAGGACAGAAACATGATTAAAACAGTTTTGATCATCAGTGCAAAAGTTCTGAATGAAATATGTTAAAGTCTTTGGTTTAAGCTTCTCACATGTGCACATGTTCTGCTTTTTTCATGTCAATATGACTTAAACAGCTTTAGGTGAATATGACACATGGGACTTTTAGCACTTCTTTTGTCTATTTTATGGACCAAAAAGTTTTTCAAAAGAGGAAATAACTTAGAATTTATTAATATTTGTGAATTAATTAGTTGTAGCCTTCCTAAGAGGTTCATTTTAAGATGTATGTACACATATGACGGTGTTTTAGGATAAAATTAGATAAGACAGAACTTCATTTGTCCTTAAACTAAGTATTATTTTATTTTATCTATCTTTAAATTGCTCATTTTATCTGACCAACAGTCCAAAACCCCAAATATATTCAGTTTTGATGTATGCAATCAGTCTCATCACATTCTTCTGGACTGTTATTATTGCAGCTCACACATGTTCTCAAGCCACATTTCTGCTGGAGAAATCAGACCTGAGCTTGATTTTGCAAACATTTGCACACTCCAGGGTTTATTTTTTCCAACAAACTTTACAGCTTCTTTATTTAAAAAAAAAAGTTTTATACATTCCTTTTATATTATACACAGTTTGAAATTAGTGTCTTGACTTGTTTTTTTAACATCTTCTCAAACTATATTTATTGTCATTTTTATGCACCAAAAATTTCCAGACTAATTCCTTGGATAAACTTGTACATTTACTCAGCAAGAAAAACAATTCTGATTAACTTCAAATCCATCTGCGGTTAAAAAAATAAGTTCTGCTAACAGTTGTTGTTCTTGGATGTGTGAGCTTCACTCTGCAGATTGATGTTCAGTATGTGCAGTTTGCAAACTGCTCTGCTGAAAGCGGACATTTCCACATATCTGAGTTTCTGGTTAGTATTTGTGGCATCACAGCTTCTGAAAGTTAATCTTTTAAAGCAGAAAAGCATTTGCACATTCATAGTTTCTGGATGTTTCAATCAATAGAAAGGTGTAGATGTCATATTACTTTTAACAAGTATACTTGGAGAGGAAGTTTAAAGGATGCATTTATCAAAATTGATGAGCAAATAACTACGTAGATGTTGTTTTAATTGACAGGCTGTGGTTTCTGTCTCGCAGGTGGTTCAGGAGTACGAGAGGGCCGTGATCTTCAGACTGGGCCGGGTGGTTAAAGGACAAGCCAGAGGACCTGGTACCAAACCCAATCAGACGTTTCTGTCCTCCAACAACAGCACGATAAACGCTGAGGCTGTGCTTTCATAATGATCAGTGTAAATGTAGAGTATGAGCTCCATCGACTCCAATCATGTTAGCGGTTAGCAGAAATAAAATCCTGCTGTTATTGTTACAGGTAGAATAAACACAGAACATAGCTAAGATTTATTTTACAAATTAAAATCATGAGAGTTCATTTTTAAGTGTAGTTCTGTAGTTTTGACAAGTTTGACAGTAAAGTGAAGACAAAATAAATAGTTTTTTTCTGTTCGTAGTCCATGCTGTATTTACACTAAGTACAATAAGTGTCAGTCTGAGATTTGTATGAATTTAATAGTATTTCAAAATAAAAGGATCTGTTTAATTCATTTAGTTTTAACCTCTAAACACAACAAAATGAGTAAAATGGTTGCATACATACATTATTTATCATTCCCAAGGTTTTCTGTTTCAATTTACACTTTTAAAAGCAAAAATAAGCGTCCGATGTTCCGTCTTCTCACCTGAGTGCTTCTGTGCAGGTCTGCTGTGGTTCATCCCCTGGCTGGACGTCATCCAGAAAGTCGACCTGCGGACTGTTTCCTTCAGCGTCCGGCCACAAGAGGTCAGCAGCGGCTCTATCGTCACTGAGTGTTAACACACTCCAGTCTGGTGGTTTATAGCCGTTATCATGTGAGACAAGAGCAAGAACGTCCTGTACAGACTGTAATTTTTATGATTATTTGCATGTTTAACCCCTCAGCAGACAGTTGTGTTTCACAGATTGAGTCCTGTTTGAGTACAACACTGATATTTATTACACGCCTTTAACATGTCCAAAATCCAGAACTCTGACTTTTTAATTAAATCTGTTTCTGTGCAACTTAAAGGTGGTACTTTGAGCTCTGAGAACGTGTGATTGGCTTCATTCAAACACTGTTTTTGGATGTTTTATAGACGAAAAAAAATATTAGTTAGAGAAAAATAACAGTCAGATTAATCCGTAATGATGATCTTCTTTAGTTCTAGTAGCTTATGATCATGAATATAAACAATCTGTGTTGGAAAAGCAACACGTGTCAACCTGTAGCCTGGTGGGAATGAAGTTGTTTTTGTTGACAAGATGGGATTTTAATGTAGTTAAACACAGTTGATATTTGTTTCTACTTTTAAACATGCAAACATAGATAATACTCGATATTTATTTTACAATTGCAAATCATATAAGTTAGTTTTTAAGTCTTGTTTTATTGTGAATTGATAATGATTTTTCCCCTGTTTTTAATCCTTACTATATTATTTAAGTAGAAATAAGTGCTTTTTAAATCATTTTTTATAGATTTTCCATCACGGTGTGAGTGCCGACACCTTCACATGTACCAGACGTTAACTCGCCTCCCCCTCGCTGCGTCGTGTCCTCAGGTCCTGACAGCAGACGGAGTCCCGCTGAAGGTGGACGCCGTCGTGTTCTACCGGGTCGTCGACCCGTCGCTCTGGGTGATGCGGGTTCAAAACGGCTACCAGGCGACGCTGACGCTGGCCCAGACCACACTGAGGGCGACGCTGGGCGCTCACACTCTGATGGACGTGTTAACACAAACGCCAGGCATCACCAAGAGAATAGAGGTGAGTGGAACTGTCAGACGTTGGAAGATAGTATTTAGATATTATGTTTCCCAAAAGCAAAAAGAATTTAAAAAACAGGTTTTAGATCAAGTCTGGGAGCACAGACGGGTTTTATGTGAATATTAGAGGTGGAGACATGAAGCAAGAGACCGGGCGTCCTCACCCAGGTCAAATTATTTTGCATTTTAAAGCAACTTTGGAGAAGCATCACAACAAAAGCATCAACTTCTTACTGCATCCTGATCATTGTGTAGTCCTGTTTGATGCTACGTTTTGCACGCCAGCAGTGGATGAGTGCCGGAGCCTGTTGTACGCGCTTTGTCCTGCAGGAGGTGCTGTACGGAGTGTCCCTGCTCTGGGGCGTTCGGGTGGAGCGGGTGGAGCTCAAAGACCTGATGCTGCCCGTCAGCCTGCAGCGCTGCATGGCTGCAGAGGCTGAAGCTGCCAGGACGGCCAGAGCAAAGGTACCAGTTTATTCACAAACTCTGCCAGGTTTCCATCAGCTCAGAGGACATTACACTGACTTATTTTCATTTATAGAGATTTGATGTGACCTTTAACTTAAACAGAACCTCAGCCAACAACTTAACTTAAACCTAACCTTAACCAACCCTTAACTTAAACCTAACCTGAACCAACCCTAAACTTAAACCTAACCTCAGCCAACCCTTAACTTAAACCTAACCTGAACCAACCCTTAATTTAACCTGACCTCGATCAACCCTTAACTTTAACCTTAATTAACCCTTAACTTAAGCCTAACCTTAAGCAAACCTTAACTTGAACATCACTTTAACCAACCCTTAACTTAACCTTAAGCAACCCTTAACTTAAACCTAACCTTAATCAACCTTTAATGCAAACCTAATCTTAAACCAAGTCTTCGATCTGAACTGTAATGATTTATGGGGACTTTTTTTTTGGACCTAACAAGAAGCCGCGTTCACCACAGAGTGACTGAAAACAGGTTTATGTCATCACCACATTAGCAATACAGGTGTATAAACTCACACACACTCAGTCTGTCGGTCAGCTGCTTCCTGTCAGCTTCAGTTTCCCAGATTTGTGTTTTAGTGAAGTGAGTGTGTCTGAGCCGCTGCCATCTGTTTCATTTAATCACTGCCAGACACAACAAACGCCGAAGTCTCGTCAGATGTACCGTGAGAGCAAAGCAGCTGAATGTAGTGTCGTGTTATCAGACCTCCGAAGCACTTTATTTTAATTTATATTGTTTTCTGAGTATTTATTCTGTTTTATAACACTGGTTTTATTAGTTAAATTTTACGTATTTTATCTAGTTTTATTTACTTTTACATCTTATTGTATCTTATATTATATTTATTGTCGTTTTATTTTACTTTTTTAAAATAAATTTATATATTTTAGTTTTTTTATAGTGTAAATTATTTCTTATTTTTTACATTTTGTCTGTATCTTTTATTGAGTTTTATTTTACTTTTTTTAATAAATGTTTTTTATTGGATTAATTTTATTTAATTAATTTTTTACCTTGTCTTGACTCAAGTTTTATTTTACTTTACTTTCTAAATTATTATACATATTTATTTATGGGTTTAATTATTTCCTGTTTAACTTTCATTTTTAAAATCTAATCTTGTTTTGAATTTAGTTTTATTTAATAAATTCTTTTATTTTTATTTTTGTTTAATTAATTCTTTTTTTTATTTTATCTTTTCTTTAATGTGGTTGTATTTTACTGTATTTATAATCTTTTATATTTTTATGTTATAGTTTTGTTTAGTTATATCTTATTTTTTAATATATATTGTCTTGTATTTAATCTAATTTTATTTTACTTTATTTTAAAATTTCTGTTATTGGTTTAATTATTTTTTATCTCTTTTTTAAAATTTAACAGGCTGCAGGTTTACCAGGCTGTATAATGTGAGCTGTGTAATCTCCTATTAATGTAAAATAGTAAATAGATGTTGCTTTTTGTTGACTCAGTGTTTTATGTGAATTATTGAACTTCTCTGTACCTGCTGGTGTTTTCAAATCGTCGTCTCTGTTTAAGGCGATTGTGGCTGAAGGGGAGGCGAAGGCGTCCCGTGCTTTGATGGAGGCGGCGTCGGGACTTTCGTCGGTGGCGTTCCACCTCAGATACCTGCAGTCGTTGTCCTCCGTCCAGAGCGGAGCCTCCATCGTGGTCTTCTGCCTCCCCACAGAGCTCCTCGACGTCTTCAATTCCCAGCAGCCTTAGCTCCTCGCAAGCTTCACCGGCTGCAGATCTGCAGGGAAAAAGGTGCAAAGAGATTAAATATGTGAACCAAACCAAAGGAACAAAGCTGTGTGAGCATGCAGCGCTTCATTATGACGGTGGTGGAGTTACATTCTCTAGCTGCTAAATTCACTTCAAGCGTTATTATTTATAAATGTACACTTTAAATGCATGTGAAACACTTAAATAAAGCTGATTATGATTTTAAAGTCTTTTTTTTCAATTGAATTTCAAAGCTCAGTTCTAATTTTTATGGTGTTTCTGAACTTCATTTCCCAGAAGTCACCTGTCCAACAGCCAAACAGTGAGTTGAAAAATGTAAAAAATGAAACTCTGATTCACAGAGACGATGTTTTTAGGGATTTAATCAAAGACCAAAGTGGGACTTTAAAAGATAGCAGCTGTTATGTACTGATATTATGCTATTTTAGCTGTTTGTTTTTATGTTTTTATATCTTCATCATCATGGATCATGCATAAAATTCACAAATTTGCGTTTACAGTTTGTACCATTGAAGCATTGATTATAATCTTCCAGAGTAACAAAAACAAACGTTGTCTTGATGCCATAAAACCAAGCAGAAGAACAGAGCTAACCATCTGTGCTGCTAAAAGGAGGCATCAGTGGCTACTTTACAGCTGTTTTCTTATTATTTCTACTCTTATAAATAGGAAAAATTAATATTTAAAATCCAAATAAAGCTTTTTTAAGGTGTTGTATCTGTTGTTTTTTAACCACAAACTTAGCACCAAAGTGTACGAGTCTAAAAAGTCTAAAAGTTCAGGTTACTGAAGCCTCGGGTTCTAAGTTTTTGGGGTCTTGCTGTGTAGAAATAGAATAAAAACCATCGTTGAAGTCTAACCAGGTATCAAAGGGCTCAGATGTTATGATGCCTTCCGGCTCAGATTTGCCAGTTGAAGCTCCTCGTTTCGCAGCTCGCGGCGTCGCAGAGCGGATCCACGTCGGATCATCTCGTTATCATTACCTAATGCTGCGGTTTGCAGACACATGAATATGCTGCGGTTCAGCGGTTTAGTTACGATAATCTGAGCGGCTTTAGCTGAACTTTCCTGTAATAGAACGTCTGACCCCCTCGTGGCCTCCTGACCTTCCCTAATCCAGCTGCTTTGTATGATTATGTCCTTACAGAGGTTTCATCATTATTATTAGTATTATTATTATTATCATAAACCTCTGTCTCGAACATAAAATAAAAACTGAACCTCCTTCACACTTCCACTCCGTCACGTTTTCATTCTCATTACAGGGAAATATTGTTCACGTTTGTGCTGCAAGTCTTGGTCACACATAAAACACATGAAGAGCTGCAAGTGCTATAATTTAAACAGTATTTATAAATTCAACAGTTTTTCATGCAAAAAATTGAAATATTATTGATGATATAAATATTAAGAGTAAGACCAACAATAGTATCAATTACATGAATGTAGCTGACTAATTAAAAGCATCGTGTTCAGACTCTACAGGTAGTTTGAACATCACTCTGAATATTATTTACTATATTAATTTATCTGATAATTATGAATATTAAAGCTAAAACCTTCATTATATACACTCAGCTGACTAATTTAAACCCTGCAGTATTACATATAACCCACCTCATGGAGCTTTTAAGGTGAAGATATTATTAATTTTACAAATTTACCTGAGTAATTTAAATATTAGCGTTATGCAGCATGCATGTAAATCACATTAAAGGTAATCATATGGATGTTTTCTCTGATGAGGCTTTGATGCTCACAGTCTGTGGTGCAAACCGGCTGCACCTCTGGTTGGTTTATGGGGATTTTTAAGGTGAAGAAATACCGAATGTAGATCACACGTCACCGATTTTATCATCTCTTTGACCAGATTTACTCGGACCGCTGCGATTCGCCAGCGTGCCGACTGATGACAGGGTTTGGCCTCCAAAGATAAGCTCTTTAACTGGTCAGAACATTGTGACCTTATGAACTGGGAACCTGTGAACAAATAAAACTGTGAGTTCAATGTGCTGCTAAAAAAAACACACAAACAACAAATGCAGATAAACAGACAGATGTAAAAACAATACAAACAAAAAAAAAATATTTTTACCAAAATATTGCTCAAATTTTGACGAATTCAAAAGAGTTATTTTCAGTTTTTTATGTTTTTAATCTATTGAAGTTGGGAATGTGTCAAAATGAGACTGAAAGTTGAACCAAGTTTCTCAAATCAGGAAATGATGTTTGCAGGTGAAATAAAATCCAGGTTTCAAAGCCCACTCAGATAAACTTCTAACTACATTTGTTTTAGAAGACTCTTGATTTTGTCCCCCATTAATCCCACTGACTATAAAGGGAATCTCTCTGTGTCTGCTCATAGACGGTATGTTTGAGCTGCACAGTTCATTATTTAGTCGATTTAAATTGGATGTGCATCTTTGAGTAAACAAATAAGTTTAATTTCTCTGATTCCAGCTCCTTAAACGTGAGTATTTTCTTCTTTTTACCTCCTCTGTGACGGTAAACTGTATATTGTTGGTCAGTGTTTGTCATCTTGGGCTTTGGGACACACTGATGAACATTTTGTCACCATTTTTATTTGAAAATCCAATCGAAGTTGAAGATTTTTCAGGAGGGCTGTAAGGTGGTTAGCACTGTTGCCTCGCAGCTAGAAGGTCGCCGGTTCGCGTCCCGGTGAGGACACCCGGGATCTTTCTGGGTGGAGTCTCCATGTTCTCCCCGTGCAGCGTGGGTTCTCTATGGGTTCTCTCTGGGTTCTCTGGCTTCCTCCCACAGTCCAGAAACATGCTGAGGTTAATTGGTGATTCTAAGCTACACACCAATCATTTTCCAGTTTTTTGTTTGTGCCGTTGATCAGAGGATCAGAGATGGACGACATGGATTCATGAAGCAGAACATGAACATGCTGCCTCCTGTTTTATCTCATGTTGAGAGGCTAAGTCAACAACATATTGCAGTCTTGCCTCTTGATGAGCACCTTCTGAAGCGGGTGAGTCTACATGCTGCTCCCTGCGTGTCCAACCGGGCTCCTGTTATATTTTCCCTCCATTGATTGCAAGGTTCCAGCCTTCACTCTGATATTACTGTAACCCTCGGCCGGGTTTCGCTGCTTCTGAAGAGGCTGCCGCTGGGCCCCGGCTCTCTGCAGCAGCCAAATTACATGTATCGGTGAGATCAGAGCAGGATGGGCTGGGTGCACTGTGGTCTGTGCAGCTATTAATAACCGTAGCTGGTGTGGCTCCAGATCCTGATGCTGCCCTTTACCCACAGTTTTACTCCACTAATCAGTGATGAGGAACAGTCTGTGGCCACCTACCAGGAGTTTTCTCTTCTCTTCTGCCAACCTTTACTTTGCATTACTCTAATACACACTGTGGATGTAACATGCAACACTTTTGGCATGAAATGTGTATTTCAGATGCATTGACTCTTTCGTTTTGTCTCAAATTTCTGCTTCAGACCTAGAAAATGAGGATGTTTACATGCATAGGACTGTGCTAGTTTGGACTCTTAACCTGGTTATTTGTCTTCCTGTAAACATGCCTTTAGCTGTCTGCAGGGTTCTGGTGGTTTGCAGCTGGGGACAAACTCAGTTTGGAGCACAGTTTGTCCTTTTGCATCAACAGTGTTTTACTTCATTTCAGTTTCAATGTGTGGAATCATTCCTGTTGTTTTGTTCAAGCTACACCTGCACACGTGCAGATCAGAAACCAGTGTAAAGGTTTGTGCAGATTTCTGAAAGCAGTCTTTGGATGTGAAACACAGACAGCATACAGGAAACACCCCACATTTATGCAAAATTATAATTAACGTAGGCGGCACACTGAAGAGGTCGCAAGAAGTCACTGAATATCTCTTGGAGTCGAGTTAAATCCATCATGAAGAAATGGAAAGAATAAGGTACAGGTGTAAATCTGACTACAGAAGGTCGTCCTCAAAAACTGAGTGACAGAGCAAGAAGGAGACTAGTGAAGGAGGCCACCAAGACTCCTATGACTCCTCTGAGATTAGAGACTGTTCATACAACTGTTCTTCACCAGTCAAAGCTTTAAAGGAGGCAAAGAGAAAGAGATTCTGAAGTCACCTGGAAGAAGGTTTTTTTAGTGAAATAAAGGCCAAAGTTGAAGTTTTTGACCATCAGACCAGACGCTATGTTTGGCGAACACCAAACACTACACATCATTACGAACACACCATCCCCACTGTGAAGCACGGTGGTGGCAGCATCATGATGTGAGGATGCTTCTCAGCAGCAGCCCTGGAAGGCTTGTAAAGGTAGAGGGTAGAATAAATGCTGCAAAGTGTAGAGAAATCCTGGAGGAGAACCTGAATCAGTCTGCAGGAGAACTGAGACTTTGGTGAAGATTTGTTTTCCAACAAAACGATAAACCGAAGCAAACGACCAAAGCTACACAGAAACGGTTTAAAGTCAACAAGGTGAATGTTCTGGAGGTGAGTCGGAGCCCAGACCTTAATCCAACCGAGAGCTGGTGGACTCTTCCCGTTGAAACCCGACTGAGCGTGAGCAGTTTAATAAAGAAGGATGAGGTAAAACTGTAGCATCCAGATGTGCTGATTGAGACCAACCACAGGCCAGAGGTGCATTTACTAAATACTGACTTGAAGGAGGTGAATACTAGTACAAACACTTATTTTATATTTTTAATTAATTGACTTCACTTTGTAGAAATCAGTTTTCACTTTGACATGAAAGAGTCTTTTTGGGGTAAATTCTTGTCAAAAAAAAGCCAAATTACATCGACTGTGACTCAGTGTTATAAAAGCAATAAAAGGGGAAAACTAACTTCTCTGATTCCTGTTCTGGTCAAACGTTAGTGCCAGCGTCGCCCCTCCTTCCTCCTACAAACTGATCCTTACTGTAAACGAAGACGCCGCCTCCTCCTCCCTCCTCCCTCCTCCTGGTTTCTCACATCAACCCCTCCTCCGTCCAGTCCTTCACTCTGCTGCCGGACCTCCTCCAGAGCGCCTCCTCGCCTCCATCGCTGCCTCTCTGCTCTGCCGCCGTGGGAAGGATGCTGGTCTGTAGGCTCCTGGGTCTGCTGGGACTCCTCATGCTCTGCAAAGGTGAGAAAAACAACAACAACAACACAAACCTGCTTATTTAGCTCATAAAACACAACTTCAGGTCAGTGTGGAAACTTTAAATCTGCTTACTGCTGGGCTCTGATCTCTGAGGTGGGATAATCTTGTGAGAAACCAGGATATCAGTGTGGAAATAACTAGAATGCATGAGTGTGAGGAACAGCTTAGAGGAGCAGATTATTTAAAGCCACCTCCTCGTCTGCTTAAGTTTAACATGGAAAAAAAACCTGCTAGTGTTTCTGTCTGCCGGCGTTACAGTAAACCAGCAGCAGTCTGTCGGCCAGTCACTCTCAGTTTACTGATGTCTGCTTTTGGTTTGTTTGGATTTGGGCCACTTCCACTCGGTAACCCGCCATCCCCGCTCCACTGGCAGCTGTAATCACCTCTTGTGCTCTCGGTGGGGCGGGTGGACGTGGGATGAGGTGGTATTTTTAAAGCAGCCTGATCCTATTGAGGGCAGTGTCGCGCTCCTGTGTGCTAATTGCAGAGCGGCGGCTGCCAAACAGGTAGCCCCGAGGCGAAACGTTGTTGTTTGGGGAGAGGAGAGGAGCTGGACGCCACCAGCCATGACGTGATCAGCTAAATTAAACATTAGGAAGTCAGAGGAACGAGGCGACGCGGCTAATCTGGCTTTGCCCAAAGTTTAAAAACCAAACTAGAAACACCACTAATTAACAGGTTGGATCATGTCTGTTTAATCTGTGCAGAAGCACACGTCAGGAAAATGAACCACGACGAACCTTAAAATCATCACATGTCATTAAAATCACTTCATTCTGCATCTGAACATTTGGCAACAATGAACTCAATTCTGTAAAGAAAACAAATAAAATGATAATTTTAATGGCCAGCGGGTGTGAAACATATTTTATCTTTAAATAATTGCCAAAATTACACCATTCATGAGAGTCAGAAACTACAAAAACCGGAAAAATCCTCAGATGTTTACCTCTTCAACAGCCCTCCACCCGATCAGTTATGACTTCCTGTTCTGTTGGCAAAAGTCACCAAATGTAAGCTTTAAAAATGACGATATTTCGTCAAATTCACATTATTGGAAATTTAAAAATTCAACTAAATTTGCTCCAGAGTCTGAAATATAAATAAATTCTGTGTTTCCTAGCACAACTGGGAAACCAGGACTGACTCAGCAACAGTGGGGGGAAAAATTCAGGGACTCTTCGGCTGAACAACAGACAGTGTTTAAACAAATTAAACAACATGTAGTCTGTAGAGCTTTATTTCTCCAGTATTGGTAACATCTCTGGACACTTGGAAGTATGTTCTGCAGATTTTTTTATTTTATATTTTTTCCAATTTGTGAAATAACAATAAAAGAAAGCAAACTTTTTTTTCCTTTTTTCATGATTTACAGCATTACAACTTTGTCATAAGTTCCTTCTCCGTCTAGTCCTCGTTGTTCTGTTTCCATAGAGGTGCAGGACTTTAGATTGCAGTGCACATATTGCATTAATCAACTTAATCTGCACACCATTGAGCTAAAGAGGCCAAACTAATGTCCAAAGTCGCGTATCGAGAAACCAAACGAAGAACCGACTCTGATGATCTGACGGGATAAGATTAAACGTTTTTCTCCTTCAAACTACTGCCTATAAACGTTCTCTGCTTGCAAAAATAGTGACTTAGAAATGCTTTAATAAAGTTCGTCAGCATCAGTTTAAATGTAGTTTTGTACTATTCTTGGATGGCGGCACTTTGAATCCGTCTGTTGGTTTGTTAGAGTGTTTGTATCTCATGTTTTACTCGTTGATTCCTGCATTAATCTCCCCCGTGAGGCATCAAGAAATGTGTTTTATCGTATTAAAAAGTCACATGCAAGAGGTGACAGAATGAGGTTCGTCCAACAGATCAAGCAGAAGGCAAAGAAACCTGCGAACAAAACTAAACACTGCAGGTTCTAAACTATTAGAGAAATCACCTTGTTTGTTTGTTGGGCCATATTCAGACCACATGAGGACAGTTGTACCATCCATGTTCATGGCAGTGAAGCCAGCGTGCAAAAAAAAAAAAAGCAGATGGGATCAGACCATCTGTTGCAGGACTCGCTGTTCTTCTTGAGGCTTGTTGTGCTTCGACCTTCTGCACAGCGCTGCACATCTTTTGCCAGGAAGATAAAGAAGCTAATCTGCGGCATGCTCGGGCAGCATCAGGAGAAGCTGACCAGCTCTAACGATGGAGCCACTTAGACACTTCCTGCTCATTTCACTCAGTCTGGACCCTTCCTGAGCTAAAGACTATTCACCCCCAAGCCTGGAAAACATGATTTTCTTTGGGAATATCAAAATAATTTTGGGTAAAAATGCTAAATTTCAAGTAGCTACAGATATTTACTCACTATTTGGTGACTTAACATGATATCTTTACATTTTGTCTTTAAAGGCGTTCTTGTTTTGTCAAGCTAAAAACATAAAGCCATAAAACCATAAACAAGTAGATTTTCTGCTTTCCAAAGGGCCTCATCACGTCTAGTGCGCGCTTCTCTCAGCAACAATAAGCAAAAATTCATGATTTCTGGCATTAAGAGTGTGTTATTGTGGGGAAATGAGCAAACAGTGGGTAAAAAGACACAGAAACAAATAAAATGTGCAGTGAGTCAGAACGGAAATTTCTGAATCTACAGCCTCAGATTTCTAAGTGCAAAAAAGTTAGCTCAGAGTGGGTCAATGGAGGGCTAAAAAATAATTCTCACAAAGTATTTGATATATGAAGCTAAAAGCTCACGTTTATCACAAAAGTTTGGAGTAAATCCGAGCTGGTCGAGCAGAAGGCAGCCGGTGATTTGAGATGGAATAACGTTTGACTGATTAGCTCTCCTTCTGACACAAAATGACGCCCATGTTTTACGAGGGGAGGTTCATAGAACGAGGTCTATACTGCAGCAGCAGACCAAATATTGTTCTGTTATTTTTCACTTTGGTCTCCATTTACCTCAGTGCACCTATCCCACTGTTCCTTCAAACTGTCTTCAGTTTGGTTCTCAAGCCATGCCTCTGTGGAAGACTGTTATCACCATGTACCTCAGCCAGCCTTTTGTCAGGAACTTTACTGCTGCCCTAAACTCAAAACGTTGGTTTTACATCATTGCTTGATCAACTTAGAATGTCTCTGATCACACAAATATGTTGTGACCAGTAAACCTGACGTGTCTGAACTGGTGAGGTGTTGTGTTGTCTAGCTATGTAAAGACATTTTGTGCTACGCTAACCTTCTGACCTCCAGGTGAGGAGGAAAGTGGTTCGGGCGAATCCTGCGACAACTTCACCGACCTGAACCTGTCGCACTGCTTGGTGGGAACCAGCCTGTACGTCCGGCTGCTGCTCTACACCCGATCCAACCTCGACTGCGGCCGCGAGCTCAACCACCACCGCCTGGCCGCCCAGCCGCTCCTCAACCTGTCGCGGCCCACCGCCTTCGTCATCCACGGCTACCGGCCCACCGGAGCGCCGCCCATCTGGATCAACCACATCGTCCACCTGCTGGCCGAGCAGGAGGACCTGAACGTCATCGTGGTGGACTGGAACAAAGGGGCGGCCAACCTCAACTACTTCACCGCCGTGTCGTACACCAGGGAGGCGGCCTACAACCTGACCAGCTTCATCATGACGATGGAGGTGAGGCAAGCCAAGGCTTCAAAACTTTCCTCCCTTCAGGCTCTTCAGAATCCGTCCACTTCTAGTCTTTTTAACTTTTTGTCTTCTGTCACTTTTAGTTCACGACATAAAGGTCAAATTTCAGTTTAAAAGCTTTCTTCCTGCTGCCAATAATAAAATTCTGCTGTAAAAATGTACTTTACATCCTTTCTTTAAGTTAAAAAGCAGTTAAATTTCAATGGAGCAAGAAAAAAACCTTCAGTAACTCTACAGTGAACGACTGAGTTCCCACCAAACAGGAAACGACCTGCAGGTTTCTGTATGAACACAAAACGTCTTTAATCTGCTGTTTTTAGATTTTAACTCCACAAAGTTTCTGAACGTGGATCAAAAAGCTCGATTGGGTTCAATAACCACAAATGCAAAGTTCCAGACTGTCTCCACCAGCAAAGTATGTCCACATAATGTGCACAAAACCTGACAAAGGCAAAGAAAAGGAGTAAAATATGCACCTTGAATGTGAGTTCTTAATGTCTGCAGGAGGAGGGAGCCTCTCTGAGCTCGGTCCACCTCATCGGCGTCAGTCTGGGAGCTCACTTGGCCGGCTTCGTGGGAGCAAACCTGAAGGGGAAGATCGGCCGCATCACAGGTGGAGTAAAGGGCGAGCAGGGCAGGACTAGAGGACATCTACTGAGCTACTGTGCCAGCAGCAGCTTTTGAGACACATCTCTCAACACTTCCTAATTCTAAAACAAAACAAACATGACATGAGTACATATTTCCTGTCCTGCAGGTCTGGACCCGGCCGGGCCGATGTTCACCAGCGCCATGCCGGAGGAGAGGCTGGACCCCACGGACGCCATGTTCGTGGACGTTCTTCACACCGACATGGACTGTGAGTAAATTGGATTTTTGTTTGTTTTGGCAACACGAGTGACCAAAAATATCCCTTTACAGTAATAATAATAAACAGTGCGTTTCATTAATATCATTCTGCTATTAGTGATTTACTTTTATTTTGTAGTTTCTCTGCTTTGTCTTTTACTTTCAAATAGTTTACAGCAGTTTTTCTTTCCATTCTATCCTCTCTTTAACAGGAATTAGTCGCTCCAAACTCTATGAAACTAATGTGTGTTTTATTTTCTTAAACTAAATATATCTTCTGACATCACTGGTGAGGTCTGGAAGCTCTAAACTGTCTGTGAAAATAAACAAACAGGAAAGTTTTCTCAAATATTTAAGGTAAAAGTTTCCGTAACATTTTTCCAAAAGGAAAACAAACAGTGGAGAATATATTTTTTTTTTAAATCACACTTTCCTCTAAACCTGTATTTTACTTTTTTAGGCACTGTTTCTTGGCGTCCACATCGACACCGTGCATTCTGTATTCTTCTTTAATTACTAACCTTTCTGTAGCTGTGCACAGTTTTCTAACCTTTGTTTATTGTGTAAACCTTTTCCTTCGGGATGAATAAAGTTGATCGTATGTTATCTTATTTTCTGAGTTAACTTGATATCACAGATTATACAGATATTATAACAGATGGTTCTACATTAATGCAATGACCAGTCTGAAGAAATACTCTTCATACAGCTCCTCAAATACTTGAAGGGCTTTTTTTTCTGAGGTTTTATGTTTCTAAACAAACATTTGTGATGCTTGATGATGAAAACAGTCTGCTTTAGGAGGTTTACCAGCTGGATAAGCAGAAAACTTTGCAAATCCTTTTTTAAAAAATAAACAAAAAGCACAAATGCAGTCATTTTAAACCTACATTTTGGAATCACCTCTGTCTGTGTTTGCTTTGTGCAGCGTTCGGCCTGAGAGGAGCTCACGGTCACATCGATTTCTACGCCAACGGAGGAGCCGACCAGCCCGGATGTCCCAAAACCATCTTTGCAGGTGAACACACACACAAGCAGACGCATGCACACATCATTTAACACACAGTGACTCACTGCAGCGTCGTGTCTTTGTCCTGCAGGTAAATCCTACTTCGTGTGCGACCACCAGCGCTCGGTGTTCCTGTACCTCTGCTCTCTGAACCGGACCTGCAGCCTCACGGGTTACCCCTGCTCGTCCTACAGCGACTTCCTGGAGGGTCGATGTTTGCAGTGCGAAGCCTTCAGGCCCGCGTCCTGCCCGGTGCTCGGTAGGCCATGAAACACTCAAAGATCATTCATGAGCTGCAGAGGGAACGAAACAGGAAACACAGGCTGTTAGTGGAGAATATCCACCACTAAAACAAAACAAAATCAGATTTAAGTCGAGCATAATACGTGTTTTTTGCTCAAAAATGGATAAATATTTGTCACATAAGGCACCAGGGACTCATCATTGACCCCAACGAGTTCATTTCTGAGGCATGAAAAACACCTGAGGATGCTTTTAGAAGGCAAACAAACAAATAAAGGTCAGCAGCACATCGCTCTGCTGTTCACCTGCACAGAATTACTCTGATTTAATCCTGTTATATCAGCTGCAGTAAACAGGGTTTTCCTACAGTCTCAGTGAGTATAAACACGCTCTGGAGGTGGTTTTGCACTAAAAGCATTATAAAGTATCATAAAGGCAAACTACATGCTCTCTGGTGATAATTCTACTTCTGGTCATGATGTCACGTCATTTATAAACATGCTGTATCATCTGATATGTAGGATTCTGAGTGCGTCTCACTAAATGTTTCTGCACAGCTGTGTCACTTTTCTTGACTTTTAGGTCGTTTTTGCTGCACGTCTCTGCTTAATGATGAATAACGTCTCATTCAAACATCACACAGTTTTGGTTTCTGGCTTAAACTGAAGAAGACACACGTACCATTAAATGTATGAGGATATATTACTCATTTACTGTTTGTTTGCTTCTACTTTCAATACCAGATAAATCAAGTTTTGGCCTTTTAGATGCCGTGTCCGTATTAACTACAAAACAACAGAAGCACTTGGTTGTTGCTTTTAATTGTCCTAATAAAGGTAATAACTGTCTGTGTGACGCAGTCCTCAGAGGAAAAGAAGGTATTTAGATCCTTACTAATACGAAAACTACAGTGTAAAAATACTGTCATTATGCAGAGTGGTTTGTTGAATATATATTATATTTACTGATTTTAATTACTTTACATACTAGTGAGTGCTTAAACTATAATAACAAGGCATAATTTACTGGTTGATTTCTATAAAATATTAATAAATTTGAATCTGCACAACAACTAAAGCTTTAAAATAAATGCAGTGGAGTACAAAGTGCAATAGTTGCCTCCAAAAAAATTGCAAATAGCAAACCACTGGCCTACCAATGCACTTCTTCCTCTGGTCAAGCTTCATTTTGGTTAATAAGCAACTTATTTCACAAGAAAACAAATTGTGGAAGCGGCTAGATAGTGCAGAAACAAGTCACCACACCACAAATGAAGATTAGCTTCAAAAGCTGCAAAACAAACACAAACATCTGCACAATTCAACAGAAGAAAGCTCGAGTCCAAAGAGGTAAAACACCGGACACAGACAGCTGGTTCTGGCTGTACTCTGAGACAGAACTCCTCGGATCAGGTTGTTTTTTTGTTGTTGATGAATCGCTGCACTGACCGTGACTCGTGTCTGAACGTCTGCAGGTTACGACCTCAGCCAGTGGAGGGAAACTCTGCTGCGACTCGGACAGACCAAAGTCTTCTTCAGCACCACGGCGGCGCTGCCCTACAGGAGTGAGTCCAACACACACTCACATAAACCTGAAAAAAGAGCAAAGAAGCGTTTTATTGTGAAAATCCAAAGGTCGGCCATCTTGGTCCAAGTATCAGCCTTCAAAAGGGAGAACAAAGTAGAGAAGTGCATCAGTAAAATCACTGTAAACCGCTCTAAGAGAACATTTCAGCACTCCTAAGACAGACAGATGATTGAGGTTGTGTGCTGTGCTGCAGAGCTGAGCTACAGAGTGGACATGGTGACGTGGAACCAGTACCTCCGCTGGGGCGTCGTCTACATCCGGCTGCACAGCGGAAGGAACGTCACCGAGGCCCGGATAGACCAGTGAGTCCATTTAGAGTTAGAAACACGCAGCCAGCAGAGGTTCACACCACACAAACACGAGAAAACATGTCGCATATCCGGCATTTATAAGCCTGAACTTCTGTGTGAGTCGCCTCTCAACCCTCAGATTTGCCGTCTGTCCTCAGTAAGCTGCTGCGGTTCGAGCAGTACACCTCCACCAGGCTGCTGGCCCAGTTCGACGACGACCTGCAGCACGTCCAGAAGATCTCGATGCGCATCAGCACCGGCAACGTCATCGGTCCCCGATACAAAATCAGGCTGCTGAGGATTCGCTTCACGCCGCTGGAACGTCCTCTAAGGTCAGAGTTTGACAAGACGAGATCAAATAAGACAAGACAAGATAGGACTTTAGATTCTTGTGCCAGATATTACTCTGACCAGTTAGACATTAGAAAATGCAGCGCCGAATAGGAAAGCAACAAGATATAAATACTGTACAGTACAGAAAATAAAAACAAGGGGGCTGAAATGAGACTAGAATACAACAGTTAGAAGTAAGGTAGCACTTATAAAGGCTTCACAAGCTGTAATAAATGATTTACTGATGCTTAATAGGACATTAATAAGAGCAGCTTTTGCTGCCAGGTTGTACAAAAAGACGACATTTTTGTTGTTGTTTTAGCCCTAACAAATAACAATAATACATTTTCCTGCATGTGAGGATTTCGTCCCTCCTGAAGAAAAATCACTAAAATGACAAGAACTCAGAATTTAAAAAAAAAAAAATCTTCTTTTCATAGCAGTTTGGTTGATTGTGGTTGAACTTATACTCTCGCTCTCTGTCAAAGCCCAGTGCTAAAACCAAACCAGACTCACAGCTACTTTTGGTTTGTGGTATTCTGTTTGTGTGTTTGCACAAAATAAACAGAGAAAAATCATTATACAGGCTGATTTTGGTACATTTAGATTCAATACACTGAAATCTGACTCACTTCAGGCCAACGAATGATAAATTAATAAAACAAGAAGCGCTGGGTGTCGATACTGGTGTCAGTACGATGATGTGAAATTCATAAACTGCACATCTGACAGACGACAGAAGCTCTGATTAAGGGTTTACTAACACGTATAACTGCTTCTGCCAAAGGCTCACTATAAATCAAGCACACCCTTTAATAATGTCATGCTATGGCTTATATATATAAATAAGATCCACTTTGAAACAAACATATCATTTTGATATTTACACTGAATGTCAGGACTCAAGTTGCACTAAATAGCGTGCTAGCTCTCAATACAGCTTTATGAAAGATAAAGGTAGTCAGCGGAGGAATTTCCTGGTTTAATAACATTTACATTATTATATTATTATTATTATTCTGTTACTGTGCAGACACACACACACACAGTCTGGTTCGTTTTAACAGACACACTGACGCAAGAGTTCTTCTTCAAATAACATTAAAAGATGGTTTCATATTTCCCATTTAAAGAGTTCATCTTAACAGTGTAGGTTACTGGTTTGTATAAAGTTTACTAGAGTGTGTAAAGCTGCACCTACCAGCTGTCAGGGGTTTTCAGTTCACAGCTTGTGCTTCCAGTCATGTCTTAATGAAACCGTTTTTCTCCCCGTCAGGCCTCTGATGTGCCGTTTCGACATCATCGTGGAGGAGAACATGGAGGTGGCGTTCCGTCCTCTGCCCTGTAACTCTCGACTCTGACTCCCTGAACTCTTCATCTTCTGCTTTGGACACTCATGTGACTCACCCTCGGCCTCCCAGACCCAGTCCTCTGGGTGCTGCAGGTTGCCAGCAGGCGGAGCTCCGGGTTCCTCGCAGGAGAACCGGCAGCCTCCCCGCTGGCCCATGGAGACCAGGTGGATTAATTCTGGTTACTGGACCTGAACCAGGAATCGGAAAGCTGATAAGAGCGACTCGTTAAGAGATTACGAAAAAAAGCTGCTGCCGGAGACACTTACATCACGCTGACATCAGGTCCATGAAGATCAGTCACCTGGAGCTGATAAACCGTCAGTACAACAGATTCAGCGAGTAAACAGAGCGTTTCCTTATATTAGTCGTGTTCAGAGCCTGATTTCAAGCATGCAGTTTAATTTTAACAGTATTTAGGTGCACGAGACAGATGAGAATTCACCAAAATAGATTCAGATTAACGCCTCATACATTAAAGATGAAGTTTTCCTTCACGGGTTGAGAAAATTCTCCCTTTATGCAAAATAAATATATGAAAATATACAACCACACAGCTGTAAACAGGGATTTTGTTTTGCCTGCAAACAGCAATGAAATACAGAACTTATTTGACACTAAAAGATTCATTCAAATGCAATAAAATAAAATAAAATTCTAGGAGTTTTAGTAAAAAAAGCAACTTGACTTCACATTTAAGTAAAACTGTGATCTGGACGACTGAGAATCTACACAGACGACAGCTTTCAATTCTTTAAAACAACCTTTCAACACCAAAAGACTATGCAGGTGTGTTTTCATCAAACTTGGAATAATAATTTTCTGCCCAGAGGCTTAAAAAACTGGAAATGCAGCATTAAATCCTGATAAAAAACCACAAAGCTGCCAAAGAAACCCAATAAATCCTGCTGCGTTCTAGTGAAAAGTTTTTAAAAATGTCTAAAAGATGAAGAAAAGAAAAAAAAGCATAGATTTAAAAGTATTTATTGAAAGCAGATAAAATATAACTTCATCCAATAATGGTCAGAATCTACAGTGGATCATGTTTTAATGCAAAATACGGATTTATATTGGACAAATAAATTTGTGTTATTAAAGATAAACTTTCCTCAGGAACTTAAAGGCAAAGCAGTTGCCTAACAAACTGTTCTAATCGGATAGTATTGATGCTAACATGCTAGACGAGGGATTTAACTTTAACTCAGCAGGTTGTTTAAGTTCCTGTGACGACTTTACAGAATTTAAACTCATTCGAAAACTTGTTTTCTGCATTATTTGTGACGTTTTGCATTCAGTGAAGCTGAAAAACTGGAGCATGAAAGCTGAGAAATATGCAGAACTGTCATGTTTTCGTGTGTTTCCTACTGAAATAAAATAAAAACGATGATGTGAAGTCTGCACCAAACAAGTTAATTCTATTTGGAAAATGTGACTCGCAGGCTGCAGTGTCGTTTTTTAAAGCATTTTGTGACACATTTTCTAAAGACTGCAGCTTGTGCAATTTGGATCTTGCAAATAATATTTGCTCTGCATGCATTAAAATCTTTAAAACCAGTGACAAAATGTGAAAACGTATAAAGAAAATGAGCCAATAACAGCTTTTCTAAACTGGTTTCTGCCCCAAAACATCAATAACTATTAGATATAATTATGATCAGTTTCAAACATAAAAACACATCTTTGGTCGTTTGTGCCTTTTACTAAACCAAAGCTTTCTCGTACATAAATAGAAATATTCTGGGTGCAAATTTACTGCAACTGCATGAAAAATCAAGGTAAAGAAAAAGCTGCAAACTGAGAAGCTGCTGCCTGAACAGCGATGTGACGTTTGTGCTCAAAACTAGACATCAGCTGTCGTGTTCCTGTAGCTTTGTGTTGTTTTGTTGTCAAGTGAGACAGTTTTTATATTAAAAATCTGCCGAGCAAAAGCTGGTGAATCCACGAGAGAGACTAAAAGATCGATTTAGTTTCAACAGAAGTGTGGATTTCAGGGGCGATGCAGGGGAGACGTGACCGGATTGTTGTGTTTTCTTTGAAATAAGTAGACATGTCAAGCACAAATTGATGCAGAAATTCAATAAATTCAGGTAATTAGGTGTTCAAAAACTCTCCCTGCATCGCCACCATGTTTAAATCTACTTCTGTGACTTTAATTAAACAGTTTGGAGACCCGACCGAGCCGCCGATCACGTCCTCTGATGTGTGACTCATGAAACATGCGTCTCAGCACTAAAAAGCTCAACTCTTGTCTTTTTCTACTGTGTATTTTCACACAATGTTTGAAATAAATGTCTTGTTTGGAAACATATTGGACTAAAGCGGTTTTTAAAATACATGGAATCAGTTTGCAGCAACATTTTTTCCTGCAAGATTCAAACACAAGCATCGAGGATATGTTTTTACACATAGAGGTTCTTTCTCTGCCAAAACTCCCAGTTTTCTAAAAATAACAAGGATGAATCAAATTAAATGAGAGATTTGCATTTGTTTTAATTACATGGTTGCTTCAAGCAGTGTAAAAAGTGCCTTGTTGTCGTTGAGCCTTCCACCCTAAATATTATTTTTGACCTTAAATGTCATCAACAAACCGACTCTGAAGCTTTTGAATGGAGTTTAGCTGTCAGAGATGCTGATGGTGACTTTACACGAGCAGCTGGTGTCAAACGTCACTAAACTCTGGCAAAAAAACATCCGATTGGTCTCATTTAACAAGAAAAATATCTTCAGTTCAGACACTTTAAGCTGCAATGTGGAGACAATCGTTAAAACTAAGATTTTGTAAATGTTTTCCCCAAACTCATCACAGCACATTTGTGAATCTGAAACACTTTGACATCGTTGTTACACAAAGAGCACCGTTTTCCTGATTAATCAACAAATCTTTTGCTCTGTAAAAAAAAGCCTGAAAATGGTGAGAATATTCCCGTCAACACACACGTACACACCCCAAAATATCAAAGGATGGAAAACAAAGCTGCAAATTCTGATCAGAGCTGAAAACAACAATTATTTTCTTGATTAACTGATGAGACGTTTGGAATATTAAATGTCAGGAAATGGTGAAAAATGTTGATTATTCTGTCCTAGATGACGAATGTCTTGTTTTGTCCACAATTCAGAGATATTCAGTTTAATGTTTTATTGATGTTTAAATGATCTTTCTCATGTGTACAATCACTGCACTTCTATATTTATATACGAAACAGAAATAACGAGAGCTTCAGTTTAGTGCAGATTTACCGTCATGACGTCAAAAATGGAGTCGCCAAAAGAGAATTAACTCATTATTAGTGAAGCTAAAATGACGAGTTTGGACATTACAACTTATCAAATATCGGAAACGAAGCTGCATTCATATTTTTTTTTACCATTAAATTAATCATCAACTGTTTTGATCATCACATTATTGGTTTGAGTCATTTTTTAATAAAAAGCCCAAATTCTCTGCTTGTTAAATGTAAATATTTTCTGGTTTCTTTCCTCCTTTAAGATGGCAAACTGAATATTTTTGGACAAAACAACACATTTGGCACCTTTAAGAAACACTGACTGATATTTTTTTAGCATTTTCTGACATTTTACAGAACAAACAACTCATCAGTAAACAGAACAAAGTGGTAAACCTTCAGAAGCATCTTCACGTGTATGGACAAACTGCTGCTGATTCACTGTGACTGAAGGATGATGTTTATTTATAAAGCTGGTGTAACGCTGAGAGAATAAAACCAGGAGTCAGAGTTAGATAACATTTATGTTTATTAGCAACATAATGAACATTTAAGAAGCTAAACCTGCGCAAGACGACGCGCTGACGGCAAGAAAACTGAACGTACAATCATTTCATCTGCGTTTCAATCTGTTCTTCTTCCATCAGTTGTGAGGATTCTGAATCCGTTTAAAATGAAGATGACATAAAAAGAGAGGAGAGAGAAATCAGGAACAGACACAGACAAACAGGAGTAAACAGAGGATGTGAAGGACCAGCGCTGCAGCTTTCAGCGTTTCACATTTATCGAATTCATCAGTCGGCCTCGGAGCGGAGACGTCTTCACAGTTCAACACACGGAACAGAGCTGCTGACCGAAACCGACGTCTGAACGGCTGCGTTTTACTCGATTTGTTACGAGAACGTCCACACAGAACACGGCTCCAGTGTCAGATCACCAGTTCGGACCTAAGAGTGGTGAAAATACAGAGAGACAAAGAGGTCAGAGGAATCCAGGCCACAGGCGGCAGGTGGGTCAGAGCAGAGGGAGCAAACACACAGTCCGGGAAGATTTGAAAAGAGCGAATGGAGGGAGAGGAGTCGAGAAGATGGGATTGGACGAGCTCAGGCCCGATTAGCGGCTGATCTGCGGGAAACCTCCTTAAATTGAAACGTGTCAGCCGGTCACAGGGATATTCCTCTACGTGACCACCTCAGAGTCGGCCGGTTACACAACGGGACCAAACGGAGGTCAGTTGCGGAACAAGTCACGCTAAATGCGTCGCACCGAGCCGTTAGCCGCCGATGGTTTGGGCTGCAGCTAAAAACGAAGCAGCACAGTGACCTGAGAACTCCAAAACACCTGCCTCCATGTGTACCGGACGGTCACTTTCACTGCACGATCATGTGACAAATAAAAACTCTGGAGACCACACACAGGATTCTGACGATGGTGAATCTAATAACTTTAAATCATTGCATAATTTCACAGCGGTATTCTTAATCACAAAAGCTGCAGGTCGACCGGTGGTTCGATACGTCCTCATCCGACCAAATCCTCATTGGCTGGACAGTCTCCAGTGTTATTTACATGCATAGAAAAGCTCCACATCAGCAGCCTTCCAGGATGAATCCATTGTTTTTGGTGGCAGGAGGATCAGACTACCTGCTGTCACAGCTTTGGACTGGTCCAACCTGATGGAAGCTGCAGGTCTGATTTAATTAATGAACGTTTACTCAGAGTCGGCTTTGGTTTTGTTCCAAGAAGTCGATTGTAAACTTTGCAAACAGCAGTTTTAACACGGCAGCCGACATGTCAGATCATCCAGAAACAGCAGCTGACCTGTCTGTGTTTTACTCCAGCTGATAAAACTCTAGTTTCAGAAATCACGTGAATATGTGCAGCTGCTCTGCTCTGACGTTTGGGAGAAATAAATCAGTCAGTGAGCTCACACAGAAGTCAGGAAAGATGCTGACTCAGATTCTGTTCAGAGTTTACGTATTTGTGACCATAAATTAAATTCTGTAAAATGTTTTATCAAAAAAACACCTTACATGTGGAGCGATTTTAAAAGGTTCAATGTAAAATGTAAAACACACACTTGCAGGACATGTCTGAGATCCTAAAACCATCATCTGCAAGTTTTTTTTTCCTTTTTAAGGGCCAACAGCTAAATATTTGGTCTGTTTATTTGGTTCTGTTGGAAACAACTTTGTCTGAGTCCTCACCAGACTCATGGCTGTGGGAGTCGCATTTCTGAAGAACACCTGAAATAGTTTCCCAGGTAAGATGTTTACTCTTAGGTTTGGGTCTTAAATAAATAAGTGAACGAACTCTGAGGCGATGGAACAGCAGTGATATGAAAGGACGTCAACGAACCCTAGTTTGATTTATCACACAACAAAAAGCTGGTTTTTAGCTCCGACAGCAGACCAGGAGTCTGTTCATTAGTAGGGACAGTTTTTAGACCTTCTGAATACACTCAGAGTTCAAAACTCATAAACAGAATTGACTTGAACCTCTTGTGATCAGCTGACTAATTAGTGGATAGATTAATTGAATGGAAAATAGTCTTTAGAGGCAGATTTACAGCTTTTTCTTTCCGTATAAGTCTGCAGGTGTGTTAAGGTACCTGTTAGGCTACTGTGGGCGTTCTGCCGCCGATTACCGGCGCGATTGTTCCTGCGCTGAGGGCCCGTGTTCAGTCTGTTTAAAGCTCCTCTCCTTGGTCCCTACAGGAGAGAAAACGTTTAGTTTGACTCCAACATGTAGCCTGACAGGCGTCCTAACAGGCTGAACTCTAATACTCACCATGTTGCCGTCTCGCCTGCGGTTCTGCCCCTCCGGCCAGGTGGAGTATCCGTCGTGGTCCAGCTGAGACATCTGCTCGTTGTAGTCCATATCCAGCTCGCTGCCACAGACATTCAGAAACATTTCAATCAAATGCTAAAGAAAATGACCCGCATTTTACTTTCTTCATCATGAACGACTGGCAGAATGTCCGATTTATGACTTTCTACAACAGCAACACAAATAAGTTTGTCAGGAACAGGACTTCTGTGGGATCCTGGACTGATGACAAAGGGACTAAATTTAATGTAACTCTCGTAAATAGGGATGTTAATGTCTGATTTTTATTTAATCAACCACCAGTAATATGTATTTAATTGATTAAAATAGTAAATGAGACGAGGGACGAGCATGTTTTCATTCTGAGGAGTGAAACATGCTCGTCTTCAACAGGCGCTGAACTGTCACCGACCTGAACATATCTGTTTTTATGTTCTTTGGACGCATTTACAACACGAGCCAGATAAAAACGTAATAAACAGGATACAGAACACATGATATGGAACGCTTAATCATTTTCCCATCACTTAAATGCTGTGTGCTGAGCCCTCTGCTGAACTCACTGTTCACTAATGACTGTCTGTCCACGTCAGACTCTAACACTATCATCGAGTATCATATATTTTTGTTCAGTGTATCTATAAACATACAGATTTATTTCTTGTGTGCTTTATTCTTCTTATTATTATCATTATTGTTTCGGTGTGGAACGGGTGTTTGTGACCAATAAAGCCTTGAATCCCTTATCAGTGGGAAGCCCAGGAGGCTTAAACCCACAGTGATAATCTGATAAATAATGACAGAAGGAAAAGGACACGAGTGAAAACAGCTGCTTCAGTCTCACCTGACAGGACCTTGGTTGCGCTGTGACAAACTGTTTCCTGGTATCGTGACTTTCACGCCCTCCAGCTTCTCCTGCCGCCTCCTCTCCAGGTCGTGTCTCAGGTCGCCGGGGCCTCGTATCGGCTGCTGGCTCAAACCCTGAAACCACACCGTCAGTGCGATCAATGAGACGATCACAAGCGCTGCTGATCAACAGTCTGCAACAGAACGAGGGTGTGTTTAGTCGTTACCTGCATGGGTCCCAGTCTGGAGAACAGAGGCTCGTCGTCATGAAGTAGTGAGCTCATGTCTAAGCTGAAGCCTCTGCAGGAGAAGAAAAATAAGAATAATATTGTTAAGTTTTCCCCAGAAAACTGCTGTGAGCACCAAACACGGTTTCCGTCTGCCACCTACCGGTTTGAGCTGAACCTCTGGTCCAGCGTCAGCTCCTCCATCTCTTCTTCTGTAAAGCCGCCTTTCTGTGGTGTTGAGAAGCGTTCGTTCAGGGTGACGCCATCGTCTCTGAAGTACTGGTCTGGAAGTGCAGACGAGAGACATTTTCTGTGTCCACATTAACTCCCATCATCACAACAATAATCTCTATAAAACGATTTATTCACAACGATGCTGCTTCTTTTGCTGTAATAATTATTGTATACATTTGACATCACGTTATAGTTAACAATAGAAATTTGTTAAAACAATGCAGGACGCTGCTCAAGAAAGTAAACAGAAACACAGTGATAGAATATGATTAATGTGATTTCTCCAACAGATTATATAAAAGACGTTGATGTCGAATTTCCATTTCGCAGCCAGAAGCTACAAGTGTCAAAATAATGGAATATTGTTGCTGAAACTAGGATCCAGCTGGTTAAAGGAAAAATGAGCAACAACCAGATTTTGTCTTGAGACTGTGACACCTGGATGGATGTAAAACTGATACGATCGCAGAACTGAAACGTGTTTCTCAGTCCTGAAAATGTCATGTGTCCGTCTCCTGTTACTTGTAAAGTTATGAGGCTCAGAAATGCTGGAAAAATTACACAAAGCCCAAATGTTCTACCCACCTCTACGTACTTAAAAGGTCTTTAAGTCTGAAAATATTCATAGTATGAAGTTAAAACTTTGCATAGCTTCAGTTACTGTATAAAAAAAAAAACTAATCTGTAAATCTGAACACCAAGTCTCAACGTCTCCCTCTAGGGTAGTGTTTATGTGAAGACTCCACTGTGTTGAAGTTCTTCATTGATAAACTCCTAAATGTTAGATTAGGTCTCCTTCTAAAAACGAGGTGCAGATCTTTGGTCTCCCCCTTCTGGCAGTGGGAGTAACAGCACAAACACTACCTATATGTGCTCATGATGTACGCCTCTCAGCTGATATCTCTCTGTTTTTTTAGACTACAATCTTTCCTTTCCTGCACAGTTGCTGGTTCATGTGAAGTGCATCACTGCACCACGTCGGTGCACCAGCGTGGCACCGATGGGCTCAATCAGGCGTTTATTTATATGCAAAAGTTCAGTTTCACCACAGCGTCTGTGCAGTGCTGACCTCTGACGAGGTGCACCAGCGTGATGATTTCCTGGGCAAACGTCCCGGTGTGCATCGCCGTCTCCCGGTACGTCCCAGAATGCTCCAGCATGGGCAGGAACTCCAGGCGCTGGCGACCGACGTTGACCAGATCTAAAGAGAGCTGCCTGTCTGAGGAGTAACACAGCGAGCTGCGGGGGAGGAAGAGGAGGAGGAGGAAGGTGAGCGACAACAGCGAGGACAGCGAGGAAACAGGAGGGAATCAGCCAGTCTGTATATCCTCAAAACACACTGAAAATTAACAGTTTTTAGTTTCAACCGAGTTACAACCTTCTGACAAGGCTGAGTTACATTACCAGTGACTGAATAAGTAGACTGTTCACTGTAGCCTGACAGAGGGAATATAAACATTAAAAAAAAAGAAAAATGTTACTAAAAACATCGTTACCTTACCCAAACGCACTTACCTTTCATTGCTCTTCCACTGACTACACCTTTAAAGCTGACTAAGGAGGGGCATGTTCACCCTTCAGCGCACACAGAATCACTCCAATTCATAATATTTTAACGGATACTTAGAAAGGCATAACGTGAAAGCCAGAGAGGACCAATGCTCCCTGTTTTTATCAACTAGGTGAGTGAAAGATCGGGGTGAAAGTTCACACTTCTTTTCTTATCTGAAATCTTCCGATTGGTTGCACAATCGCTTCTCAGTTCAGACATTTCGACCGCTTGATGGACAAAGTCTCCGGTCGCGTTTTACGACTCGAGAGGAATGCTGCAGAAACGCAAACGACAGTTTTGTGCGTCCCCGGTTGCTTCGGCACCCGACTTCTTACCCTGCTTGAGATGCCGGATTCTTTTACGAGCACGACCTGCTCCTGAAGTCGACATCTCCCTTTAAATGACAGAGATTCTGATGAAGGTTCCCAGCATTAGCAATGCCTCTGTTCATGGAGTCTCTTACACAGTAATGATGATATTTATGTCGTTAAATTCTCCTTCTGACAAACCGCTGTCAGCATTAATGGTGACGTACAGGACTTCAGTTTGTCCTGTTCTTGACTCGGTGACAGTTAAACTTCAGTTTTCCTTTGTTCTTCAGAATAGATGATTTCTGTGTTTGCAGCTTTGACGTCTGCGTTTCACAGCACTGAAAATGCTCAGAATCCTCATTTCTTTCCAGCTTTTATAACTTCAATCCCGTCTTTAGACAGATGTCGTGACATTTATTGTCACGGTTTTCATTTTTCCCTTTTGGCAGCACAGACGATTATGTAGATGTTCCAGTTCTTCTTTAAACAGCCTGTTGGCATTTAGGTTCAGGTTGTGAAGCTGACATCTGTGGGTAAAGCTTGGGAATCTTCTTTAGCAGTTCCTTTACTCCAATGACGTCTTTTTCCATCCTTCAGTTCCAATATTTCATATCCGTCTGCAGCTTTCACATCATGGGCAATCTCTGAATCGTCTTCTCATGTCTCAGCAGTAGCCAAACCAGGCAGAGGTTGATCTTCTAGAAGGCAGAAGCATAAATACTCCCCGCTCATCCACTCATAGCAGGTGTGATTGTCTCCACCTTCTTCCCACTTGGTCCATAACCAGCATCTGCAGGGTTCCTATCCTGTAATCAGCTCTGACACATCGTCTCACAGCTTCTGTCAAACAAAAGCTCCCATCTTCCAATCAAATGCCAGAAACATTTTCTCCTCCATCGCAATGCATGCGAATGACTCCTCTCTGTGGTGTTGTGAAAACGAACCACGTGGCTTTAACGCAAGTCATGCTGCGTCACAGGCTCACACATCCGAACCTCCACGTCTTCAGCCTGCAGTAGAAGAAGTGAGCAGACCTTTCCTCTCTCTGCTGCAGTGGCGTTGAGTCTTTCTTTATCGATCCGTCTTCACTGAAGTCTCCTCAAACAGCTGCATCGGAAAATCCATCAGAAGGTGGCGGTTCAATGAACACAAGTATAGTGGTCGTCACAGAGCATATGGAGATTTAATGAATGTTCATCTGTGCGTCATAAACAGTCAAAGGGGCTTCAAAATACTCCTCTTCAGGTTTTCTGGACTCCACATTTCTGAGTGATGACATGACGTAACAGGTGGTGTGTGGAGTCCTTCAGCGGTAGATTCTGAAAAGGAAAACAGCATCTGGTCCAGGTCTGTTTTCTGCAGCTCAGTCTTCATCACTCCTCAGCAAGATCTTCCAGTCTTGCATACTCTGAGAATCTCGTGAAAAACTCCAACCAGATGAGGATGCATCTGCTGCCTTTCACTGAATCTTGCCAGAATGTCGTCTTAAGTATTATTATGATCTTTGGTTCAGGTTTCCAACAAAAACTGACGTCTGCCAAACACCATTCAGGCCGTTCAGGGTAGTTTTTCTTCCTGTAATGATTCGGGGGCAGATGAGGATTCAGTCACACGGAGAACCTTCATGTTTGTTGCATCTTGAGATACAACCAAGTCTCAGGTCCTGAAGTTTCATGTCGTGTCAAGTCACATATTTCCAGCGCCGAGCATCGTCTCCCATTCCTGCAGAATGATGCGCAAATCAAACAGTCAACATGATGAAGGAACAGTTTTCTTCCAGTTCATTCTTTCTTATTTGACAAAGCGATGAAGGCTTGTTCACAATGTTCCCAAAGCTCAGCTTCAGTGTGCTTCTTCAGAAAGTTTGAGCTTTTCCTGAGTTTTCAGTCTGAAGAACAGCAAACGCTTCTTTCGTGCCGGCCGACTCCACCGCTGGATGAAGATGTGCCGTTTCTTGCTGTTTCTTCCTGATTGTATGACGTGATGTGGCCGATGCTCCCAAAGGGCTGTAAATTATACGCAAGCAAACAGTCGCTCTGGGTTCTTCTTCCTCTTCTTCTTTGTTTTCTTTGTGAAAAAGAAAGTGTGAACTTTCCCCTCTCACCCTTGATAACTAAATTAGAAATACTCTACCTGCTCTGGTTTACGGGTCGACTCATGTCCACTTTGATGGTTAACGTTTCCTCCGTCATGGTGTTCATGTTGTCGGTTTTCTGATCGCTCCATCCACGCTCCCTCTGACGGGGCATTTTAGGGTCCAAGTCGACCCTCTGCAGGTGTCGGTCCAGACTTCCAGGCCTTTCCCACTGTTGGAGTTTGTCTTCTTCCGCCCAGGTAGGCTCCTCTTGGACGTGGTCCTCGTAATCGTCCCTGAAGGGTCGGTACCCTGGTCTCTGGTCTTCTTGAGGGCGCTCTTGGTAACCCTTCTGGAAGCGTGGTTGATTCCTGGGCTGTCCAGGCCTTCCACCTTGACCCTGGTTGTACTTCCTTTTCAATAAACGATCACTGCCTCTCCCCCCATTGTTCATGGGACCAACTCTGTTATCATATCTCGTGGTGTTTGGTCTGTCCAGCACAGGGCTCCTCCGAGTTTCACGATAGTTGGAGTCTCTTGCGTTGTCTTGAAAACGGCGTTCTCTTGCGTCTTCCCGACCATCGACCCTGTTGTCCGACATCTTGAAACGCTCCTGAGAGGAGCTCATTGGACGAGGACTCCTCTGTCGGTCAAAGTCTGGGTCACGATCCCTACGATTGTCCAACTGCTCCCACCGAGGCACCTCTCTGCTGTTGGTGATGCCGTGACCGTGTTCGATGATGACTGGCCTCGAGCGCCGAATGTCTCCGAGGGGAAACTTCCCCCGAGAATCTCCTCCATAACCATCTCCTGGTGAGTCCACTGAGTAACCCTGTTCCCCAAACTCCTCCCTGTACCTGTGACGGCATAAGAGGAGGTGACATGGTTCAAAAATGATACATGGTCCGTCGCAAGTCTAGTTTTAATTTACACTTAGAATTAGCACTGGATTATATAAACATATATACATAAATAGTGATTACATATCCAATTTAATTATTGTAGCTGCAGCATGATTTCTTTGTAGGGATGTCCCGAATCTAATCTTAAATTCAGGATCAGGCCCTATATCAGGTGACCGGTACCAGCAAAAACCAACACCTGATTGATTAATTTTACTTAAGTAGATACAGATTAATGCAGTATGCATAAATTAATCATAATATTGCATCCTACACTTATACCATCAGTCTGTGGTTTAATAAAAAAAAAAAAAACTACCATCTGTGTGTATGCTCACGGCAGCTTGTTCATACTCGACATGTATGTGACGTATGTGACTGCGCAGAGGATTGTGGGTCTGAATGACCAGAAAAGCATGCTGGCTTGCATCCTGCAAAATCTGACCAGATGTAGTTGGACATCCTGGCATTCTTGGCATACTACATTTGGATGTACTGTACGTTTTTCTGGCACACTATATGGTTTGGTCTTTGTCATGGTGCTCCTTTACAAGGTAAACTCCCACAATGCTCTCTGCTTTCCTGCATGGATGTGCCTGCCTCCTCTGGTCCTTACAGTTCTCACAGTAAGAGTACTTAATGTGAATTCGGACGTACTATTTTTTTGCTGCTATACTATATAATATGGAAGACAGTCTCTGTCATGGTGCTTCTTTACTCGCTAAACTCCCACAATGCTCTCTGCTTTCCAACACTGAAGGGCCTTCCTCCTGTGGTCGTCACAGTGATAAACAGTAGGAGGTTGCATCTGATTGAACAACTAGGTACTGCAGCTACTCTACAATAGCTAAAGTATGTGTTCTCTCAGAAAATGGCATCAGGTATCAGAAGGTACTACGTATTTTTTAAGGATTCTGATTGGATTAAAAGCAAAATGAAACAAAATTTTAAAAACGTTCTCGGGGAATCCCTCATTTTCTGAAGATTGTTATATGAATTAACAAACACGGTAAACTGGAAATAAGACATGCAGAAATTTCAGTTCTTTCAGAAGAGCTTGCAAAGAAAGAAAACTCTAAGCCATGCAATGTTTGCTACACTCGTCTACGCAGTATTAGTGAAATTAAGGCGTGAAGACAAACAGTGAGGAGTTCTGCTCTAGTGAAAATAAGAAAGATGAGATTCCCCTGCATTCTTCGTTTCCCGATAGCGCTGCAAAGCAGTTTGCTTAAACTTTACCCCAGCTGACTTGCGTCATCCATTTCTCTTCGTTGCCTTTTAAAAGGGAGGCTCCTGTCGTGATGTGGGTTCTCTCTTTGTCTGCCTCTATTAGAACCTTGTGTGCTCCTCTTTTCCCTTTCCCTGTCTTCTGCAGCTCTTTGGTTGTCTGACCTGGTACCAGGACTGACATCTCTGAGCCTCCCTCGACCTCGGCCCGGTTCCTCCCTCCTCCAGCCCATCACCGGCTCTCTCTGGGCTGAGTGAGACCTCGGCGTCGGCGTCAATCTTTCCCTCATCAACTTTGGAGGCGACTGGGGCGACCTCGTCCTGGTTTCAAAACTCTGCAAGTGTTCTCTAAACCCTCCTCGGCGTCTATCTACATCACTTCCTCCATCATGCGGCGGGGGAAGCCTTCGGTCTTCGTAGCGCATCGCGCCATGATGAGGTGACGGCCTCCTGTGGTAAAACTCCTCCTGGTCTGGACGACGCACAAATTGATGGTCATCTGAGAAAGAAGGGGATCTTCTCTGGCCTTCTGGGTACATCTCTTTCCTGAAGTAGTCCCTCGGCTCTTCTGGACCTTCTCTGAAGTTATGGCTCCTGTCAGTCGGGATTCCATCCAGCTCTGCAAGGAGTCTGTGAGCATCAAAGTCAGGTTCCTCCCACGGGAACCTCCTAGGACAGTAAAAATTACCAATTTAACAACAGGAACAAATAAATCAATCGCATTTACAAATTACAACTAGTAGTTTCAGAGTTTACAGATTCTCTGGTACACAAACATAAGCAGAAAATGAAATAACACCAGGGGACTTACCTGTAACGTGGAGATCGGGACCGTGGTCTTGACATTTTGTCAACCTAAAAGTAAAAGAGATTTTTATAACAGGACTAACTCATCACTCTCTGTCAACAGGGGCAAGACTCTCCTAAGTTTAGGATGTTAAAATACAACACATAAAATGTGATTTCTGTAAATGAGTGCATCTATTTCAACAAGAGAATCTAAACCATCCTCATAGCTGGAAGTTGAACAACTGCAACACCAACAACTGCTGGGACATTGTGATTATTTTACAGGGATTCCAGGTTATTTTCTAATTAGAAGCTGTCTACAATTTTGTTTTTATCCTGAGGAAAATACCTGAGCATATATAGAGGTTGGGTGATGATAAAATATTCAAGTTGAACAACTTTATACAGAATCCCGTCATGATGACATGAAACCATCTACATAATAATAAATAATACTTCTAAAAGCAAACAGTTTTTGTCCACCACTTTAAAAACATTCGGTCTCATGTATTACATGACGACTGAGGTTTACACATATTAGTCAAGATCCTCAGAAATATTGTGATCACTGATGAATAATCGCCTGGTGACTGAGCGGTTAACTGAATGTTAATCCAGCATCTAGCTAATTAGAAACTACATCAAACTCTATTTCACATACATTTTCAGGAACATTACAGTTGCACAAGTTAACATTAGGACCAGACTGGTTTTAATTGCTAGCAGACCGACAAATGAGCTAACTGGTAGTTTTAAAAGCGTAAATAGTGAATACCTGAAATCCCAAAATGAAAAAGGGGCTTTACATTAAATTCAACTGAATATCGGGGCTTTTGAACAGTGACAACGATTGAGTCTTTCCAGACAGACTATTCCAGTCATGTGCTGAACATTTTTCTGCTTTCTTATATCACAGAAAAACAAAACATCACAGTGAGTTTCCTTCAAAGCCCAAAGACTTCTTACTCCATCCAGCCTGGTTGAAAGGGAATCACTCCCCTCCACATTACATAAACACTACAGGCTCTAAGTTTCGATGATCAAATAAGTGAGGTTCATTTCCATAGTTAATAACACAGTAGGTTCTTATTCTTAACATCTACTTTAGTCTGGCTGATCTCCATAACTAAAAACACTGCAGTCTTCGCCTTTATAGTAATTTCGTAGAGTTTCAACCGTAATATTGAACTCGCTCATGTAAATCCACACAATAAACAACACTGCAGAGGCTTGACTTGAATATTTAAACCTGTTAACTCTATTTTTCTCCTAGAAATCACATCGTCTCAGTAGCTCTACATCTGCATAATACATGTTATAAACCTGCCCTGACATGTGATGGGTGACTAAATGAGGAGGTAATAAGCAGATTAGTCTATAATACACTATATTTAAGTCAACCTACGTGTGTCGACCTTCCTTTACATGGACAGTGCTTCAAAGTGAAACGTAAAACTTTGCTTTTGACACGAACTTTAACTGGTTTCTTCAGGAGCAACAGCACACATGCTAACTTTAGCTAAACTCCCGCTTCCTTACGCTGACCACACACTCAAACATTACTGACTGCTCACTATGAATTCTTAAAGTTCATTCAGAAACCACTCTAACAGGCTTTACGTTATTTTAACTAACCGTTTCAAACGTTAAACCAAGCGGTCAGTGCGCACAAGCTAACTGCTAGCATGCTAACGAGCAGCTAACGGTTGTCGCTGACTTACCTTGGAATACGGCGCCCGTTAGGCTAACGCGGCTAACTAAAGCGAGGGGAAGGACCGCGAAACCCGCAACATAACCGGTTATTATGCGAGAATATGACCCTGTCTGCCTCCAGAAACAACTAAAAGCCAGCTACGAGGGTTCTTCTGTTCGGTAAAATGTGCAGAAAAATGGATGTGGACGTTCACTCCTTCAAAAAGCTAAGCGCTCGGCTCCTCAACCGCTGGCTTTTCAAAATAAAACTGCCGGTTGGCGTTACACGTACCAACCAACGCTATCAAGGCGCGTAACGGCTTTTATTCTGAAAATAACGTTTTTATTCCACAGTTATAAATCAAATATATGATATTTATGTAATTAGAAGAGATTTGGGTTTTAGTAAATAAGTGATAGTGTGTTGTAGTGCTT